CAGTTCGCTAAAGTGGTAAATAACGGTAGTAAATCATGTAACAAAAATTTCGTCAAAATTCGTTTTTTAATTTTGTTTTAAACGCAGTGAGCTTAATTCTCACTGGAATAAGCTAGTACAAAATAAAAGTGTTTCAGAAATCTGTCACTAGAGGGCACTTTTTACCTAGAACTCTTTTTCTATTTGCCCTGTATTTTATTTATTTAGACTGATATTGCAAAATAAAACAGATTACCTTAAGCAGAATCACAAATCCTCAAAAATTGTTACCTTGTTTTAATTCGATGACTGTTATCGTTTAGCCACAAATCGACTTTTTTATTCTCGGCTCTATTTTTACGTGTAAATCTGATTTTACCTAACAGGTGAATGAAATTTGAAAAAGCCATTGTCACAATCCGTTAAAAATTAGTTTCTATTAAAAGAGCTTAATATCCAAATGCTACTGCGATGGCCCGTCAGGAATATTCAAATACTGAATATCGCGATATGCATTTTTGCTACGGAGGAGCAAATGGAAATGCACATCAAGCACGACGGCTTTATATCGAGGCTTATCCCAATAGAAACGTTCCATCTGCTAAGACATTCAGCAACATAGACAGAGGACTTGGTGAAAGAGGATCATTCAAAATTGGTAGTATGAATAAAGGGAGGTCAAGGTATAAAAGAACCGGTCCAAGAGAAGAAAGAGTACTTGAAAGCTGACCCGTCAACGAGTACGAGCCCTTTCATGGACAAAGGGTTCGAGTACTATATGAGAGTGATGAGCAATTGAGAGTAATTTTATGCAATCGAATTTCAGGAAAAATTCAAAAATTAGCCGCAATTCTTAAATGTCATTTTGTTCACTGGCGAGACTGCATTCAGGCGTGATGGCATAGTAAATTTTCGGAATATGCATCAGAACATTGAAACACACATGCAAAAATTGAAGGAAAATATCAGCGCTCGTTTTCTTTAAATGTAGGGGCAGAGATTATAGGATATAATCTTATAGGACCTCATTTCTTTAACGGATCGCTTAATGGGGAAATGTAACTGCAATTTCTCCAAGAGGAACTACCACCTTTGCTCGAAGAGGTAAGGTCTGTTCATAGATATGAGAAAGTGAGCAATTCCTTTTGAATGGGATTATCCAAGGGTGGTCATTAACATACAATGCAACAAGATTATTACCTAAAGTTTCGGAATTTAAATTCAGGTAAAATTGTGGACCGTAGTAGAAAATAATTTTATACCTACCTGTGTTTAATATTCTTTGGTTTGGTATAGTACTTGGTTTCAGTATATTAGTATTCATTCTTATTTCATGTGTAATACAGCGTGTGTTGAATCGTGTGCGAATTATGCAAAATATGTGCGAGTCTAGTGTATCCAAATGTAGAAATGTAGAAAACACTATTCTATTGAGACTAAGGAAGTTATAAACAATGTTTATTTGACTCTCATTGAATGTGGTGCGAGCAAGCAAGCATCTTTAGAAGAAACGGCCACATTGACGAAAATAATCCCATTTCAGCGAGGAAAAAAAGAAGCGATGTTGACATTTTCTCGAGTGTATATGAAAGTGATCAAGATATAATACGGCGTAAAATTTACCAGTTATACGAGGAACAAAGTGTGCATACATTAGATATCTTAATTAAGAGGCTTGAAAAAGATGAAACCGGTGTTAAATGTGGCAGAACTACCTTATGGAATTGTATTCAACATATAGGTTTTAGATTCAAAAAAATTGACAAAAGGCAAGTTTTAATGAAATCTTTTAGAATTCAGAAATGGCGACTGGAATATCTAGAAAAAATTAGGATTTACAGAAACAACGAAGGCCAATTATTTACTTGGATGAAACCTGGTTCGACACTTTTGATACCCCGGAAAAGGGTTGGGTTGACTCAACTGGTTGGATTCCAAATGGACTTTCTCTGTCTGCGAAAAATATTAAAGATTCTTCTCTGGATTACCATGAAGACACCAGCGCTGATTTATTTGAAAGTTGGTTTAAAAACAAACTAGTTCCAGACATTCCTCCTAATAGCGTAATTGTAATGGACAATGCAAGTTATCACAGTAGATAGTTGACTAAAACCCTTTCCTCATGTGACACAAAAGCAACAATCCAAAACTACATGTATAATAACGACATTTATTTTCACGAAGATTATATCAAAAAGCAATTAATTGAGGTTCTACAAATCTTGAACCTACAAAAGGAATGTGATAATTATGCAAAAAATCTAGAGCATACAGTTACCACTGTATATTTAATCCCATTGAACATGTTTGGCACCAACTAAAATCTTCCATTTGTCGTAACAGTGTTTTTCCCCGTGTTAACTCCAATGTCCTCAAACTTATGAAAACCGAAGTTTTTAACATTCCTCCACAAAGTTGGTCAAATTGTGTTAAACATATAGAAAAAGCAGAACAATCGTATATCCATATTGCAAATAATATAGAACAAATAATAATTAGAACAGGCGATGATAGCGATAGTGATACTGATATATTATGTGAATAACTTTAAGTAATTTAAGTAGGCAATAAAAATAATTTGTAATTTTATTTTAGATTTAAACATAAATACATACATAAATAAATAAATATTGTTTAGTATCTTTCCTAACAAAACCTCAAATAATTAAATTCTAAGCAAAGTACGGACCTGTTCGGCCATGTTTCATTCTTATAGCTTGCCCGAGTCTTTCCTTTATTCGTATCAGTTAGTCACTTTCTTATATCTATGAACAGACTTTACCCTTGCAGTGGAGACAAAACATGTGGTTAATGCAAGATGGCGCTCCACCGCATTTTACATGTGCTTTGCGAAGATTTACCAGACCTTATTCCGATGGACTTCCTTTTTTCGGCGCACTTAAAGTCTTTAGTGTACGAAACACTTATAACAGAAACGGATATCATTGATCTACGACAAAAAAATAATAAACGGTTGCGAAATCGTTAGAAATAGGTTAGGCGTATTTGTTCGTGTTTGACAGCATTTTTTAAAATGTATAAAAAAATGTTTAGAAATGAACGTTGGGTATTTTGAAAATGAATTGTAATTAGCGTTGTAAACTGTTTAATTCCCGATTATTATTAACAATTTTTTTTTCACTTTTTTAATTTGTAGGATACTGTTTTGAAAAATTTAGTGTATCAGTATCACCTTTCTGTAAATTAGAAGTGCGGGGTATTCGGACCGAGATAAAAAAAAGGCGACTTTAAAATTTCTAGGTAAAGCGCCCTCTAGTGACAAATTTCTGAAACACCATTATTCGTAACTATGACTTTTACTAAATCAGGGCGGTGTCTAAAATACCAGCTTATTTCGTTGAGAGTTAAGCCCACTGCTTTAATAATAAAATTTAAAAAAAATGAATTTTGACAGGCTATAACTCGAAAAATATTACGATTTCGAATTTTGAGATTTTTCGCTAACTGTGTGTCATTCCAGACATATATGTAGATATAAAAAACATCAGCAGCTTATTTTAGTAAAACTTTTTCTATTAATTTCTTAAATTTTGAACGAAGAATTTTCAGAACTTTAAGCGAAAATGCGATTAAATTTTGCTCCATTGCCGCAAATACGTACACAGGTTCAACAAACTGCGTTCGTGGCGTTTTGAACAAACAGCCTTATTTATTGGCAAATGCCCAGATCCAAGTCGCTTTTCCGTAAACATCCATATTTCGGACATAAAATATTTTCTGACATTTCGCGCGTCGGCTGACTTGGTAAATACTGAATAAGTAATAATTTAATTCAAACAGGACACGGAGCAGCGATTTACTACGCAGTTCCCTCTTTCGTGACCATGTATTCGATTTTATCGCAATCATCGGACGAATGTAAATGTTATTTTGTAATCTTTTTAACTTTAGGTCGAACGCACCTATAGACTGCTAGTACTTATTGGTTATTTGGAATGAGAAATCAACCTTTGTGTTGGGGTATTTTTAAAACACTGAACGAAAAAAGAAAGAGAAAGAAATTTATTTTGTTTTTAAGAACTATAATTTAGCCGGAGCCATAAGTTATATAACTTTACTGGTTTCTTAGGAAGTTTTACTAAATTTTGAACTTCTCTAGTTTGTACTTTTTTTGACAAAAGTTTTTGATGCTTTTTTGTAAAAGAATAAGCTCACATGTAGAAAAAGAAAAAGGAGAAAAAAATATGAGTTACTTGTAAAATTTAAAATATTATTAAAATATTAAAATGATTTAAGGTTAAATGTTAAATTTATAGGGTTCTTATGGCTTCTTGAAAAGTAATATATTTTGAAATACATATCTTCAGATTATATTTTAAAAGGATACCGTGTGGAATATAGATGATGTATATCTTTGACCTAGCATAGCTATCCTCTAATAATTCAGATAAACAAATAGTATTTTCTTACTTATGGTATGTTAAAATACCAATTGCATAACCTTTTGAAATGCCCACGTGAACACTTATTATTGAATTAATTTAATGAGATGCTAGGTGTCTTAAAATGACGAAGTGCATTTAAATTAATTAATTTTACTTGATGAAAATCCATTTATCAAAATAAATAAGAACTAAAAGTTCAGATTTTCACGAAATTATATATTATGACATGACAATTGTTTCGACAACACCATGATAAAGACACGGTGTTGTCAAAACCATTGTCATGTCATAATATATAATTTCGTGAAAATCTGAACTTTTAGTTCTTATTTATTTTGCATTTTATGTTGTTGATTTTGCAACGAGCCCATCTCCATAATTCGCTATTCTATCACATGGAGGGCGCAATCGAAAATTTTGAAATCTAAAATGAATTTAATATTACTGCCTTTCTGTGGCATGCTTTGATTTATCTTCATCCCAGTCCTTCTTCTTGTCTTATTACTTTTTTTTAGAACCTGAAGTGTTTCTTCGACATGATTCTTTTGTTTTTTCTTTCTTTTTATGTAGGACAAAAAAATCAGTGATCGTTCACTATCGGAGAACTTTGCAACATATTCAAACTCAGAATCTCGTTTTGTGTTTGCGAACAAAATTTGAAACACCTGTAGTTTTTCTGTGTGTTTTATAAAACAAAAATTAGATTATTTTTACATTTGCAAATAATAAATCTCATCTCTCCCACATACTCTGGGTTAGATAGTGATGGGCAAGATGGTCAGAAGGTGAACCCTCTTGAACGTTTTTTTTTTTGCTTCCGCATGGACAACACCAATTGTGTACAATCTTCCGTCATACATATGCTATTCAATTAATCTTTTTTGCCATTTTCGCAAGTTATTCTTTCGACTCAGTATCTGAATCATTATTCTTCCGCGTCTGCTTCCAAAACCTTACCTTGCAAGACTTCTTTGTTTGCGCTTTTCCACTGTTGGTTCTTTTCCTTCCTTTCGACACATTCCCTTTTTTGTTGGAGAATTAAATTCATCTTCTTCTTGTGTCTCAGTTGTGCCAATTGATACTTGATGAATCAGTAATCTTAGAGGAACTTGGTTGTGGACAACTTGTACCTTGAATTTGAGAATTTTCGTCAAAATTGCAAATAGCACGCGAATTGAAGGGGAAAGTTCAAGTTGCAGTGGGAGCCGTGGCCAATTAATGTGACAATAGCTCTGCCCTCGGGTCTTCTTATCAAAAATTAATCTCTCAACCAGCCAACAATGACAGAGATTTCACCGGATGTAACATTAACAACATTTCTGGAAACCTTAACAGCCAAGATATGTCCAGGTTTATTGTTACATTGTTCATAGTCCCGAGTCATCAACGATTTGTTTACTAAATCAAACTTAACAAATGTATCCTGCATTAGGTCACAATATTTGGAAATATTTTCTCTATTCACAATTAGTGAAGGATTACAATCTAAGAAGAGGTTGAGCCAATTTCTACCAGTCATTTCTTTTGTTTATAAACCATTTCCGAACTTCCATAAACCGTATTTCTGGAGGGTAAGAATATGTTTAACCACTTTCTTCCCACACTCCCGTCCTAGCCAAGACAACAGCCCCAATGGTTTCCTCGTAAGGCATTGCTGGCTATTTCTCTTTTGAGTGTAGGAATCTTCAAGACCTTTGCTGTTCATTCTTTGTCGTTTGTAAATTCACATAGTTCGCATAGTTCCCCATTTTTCCTCCCTTCCCATTTAATATGGGGTGACCTAACCAATATTATTTTAAGGTCGTATTGGACTATACTACTTCGCTTCAGAATTATTAACATGTTTTTCTTGCCTTCGGTTGAAATTTGTCGGTTCTCTTTAGTGTCGAAACGTACACTGCTTCTCCAGGAATGACATGATATACATATACGGCAAGAAGAGCAACTGGTCAAAGTGAACGCATTTCCTGCGTTTTTTAGCAGCACACAAAGTCGTAGTTGTACATACACTTCCTTTGAAAGCTTTATCTTTATGTTTCCGTCTCAATAGCTGGCTGTTGTTTCATATGAACGTCGCATTTTCTATACTTCGCAAATAAGTTTTTCAATGTAAGCCTCTTTGTACAGAAAATATGGTTTTCTCGAATTTAATCCTTTCCGTATCGAGCACCGGTAGGAGCTTGTGCTTTGTAACACCGACTGTCGAGTCGGTGCGAAATAAAACGTGCTGCAACTTTTTTATCGGCCCGATTTCTTAGAAGCTCATGCGCGTTACTGAATTGCCTAGTACGTTTTGCATTTCAACCTACAAATTTAATACTGGTCGCTTGCACAACTTCCGTTCAAGGGAAGTCGCTGTGAAAGTGAATTAAACCCAAGAAATTAACATTAATAGTTTAACAGGAGGGGCGCGGGAATTAGAAATAGGGACAAAAGAGAGAAACGAGAAGTGTTAAGAAAGAAAGAGAAGAGTTAGTTAGCGAGAGTTGCAAATAGTGTTGGACTTATCAATTGATCGTAGTAAAAAACTCTTTTTGTGCTGTTTATGTAATGAACATCGGCACGATATGTTTACATGAAGAAATGGTGGCCATTGTAAATTAATTATCTTAGAGAGCACGCCACTGAATCATAGAAATTGTTTAAGCCTATGGGAAACTGTCTGCTTCCGCTCAATCCCGTAGCCCTACACAACAATTTTGAACTTTATGTATCCTTATAAATTGTATTGTGATAAAATTAAAGCTTCGCATAAAACAGATTTAGTTTTTTTTCTCACAATGAATGACGATGCGAACATTATAATTTTAATATTGGAAATGTCTCCTTTAGATATAAATTAATGAGTTCTTTCAATTTTAAATTTTCGTCAGTGATAAAAAAGGAGGTGGTATAAAGCTGGGTATCGTCAGCTTATAAATGATAAATAAAGACAATAAATAAATGAAGAAAACTTACCTAATTAAAACTGTATATGCCGCATAAAAGTGAACTATGTCTGACAAACAGTTGTCGTAAACCAGCCTCTGATACCTGTTAGTTAAAAACTGGTGAGAGGACAGCCTCTTCAAAGCCAAAATCGCTGTTCTGGCAGAACAATAAGTGCAAAATTTTTGGAAATTGAGTTAAGTCCATCTTTAATCCTTAAATATAAATACTTTGTTGAATACTGTTTAAACTGATCCATATTTAACTTACTAATACAACATTTTCAAAGTCACAATTATACTTATACTTATAATATAATAAACTTATACTTATAATACTAAAATTTCATTTTCGTTTTTTTGCTTCTCCTAAAAAATCATGCTTTTTATTAAGGTATTATGATGACTCATATAAAATGCATATTTACACCTACCGCAAAGGGTCTTCAAAAATTCAAGTATCCATTTTGTTATTCCATTACCGCACCAATTAAGTGGTTGCCATGGATGTGCCAATTTTTAAATGGTTACCAATATCTTTCGCACTGCATTTTGCTTATCGCTTTAATATTATAATTCTGGTACTTTTGTTTGCTAACTTTTCTATTTACTATAATGAACATGATAATGACACGGTATCGTGGTATACTTTGTCTCAAAGTATATCACCTGACCAATTGATATTCTAAGACAGAGTATCGGGGACAGACTTTTAAAATTTTAAACGTTTTAAAAATACAAAGATTTTAAAGTTTTTTAAAACATAAAAATTATATAGTGTATTATGTTTATTTAGGTATAATAAAATCACATTAGCACTAATAGAAAATGCAATGGCGCTTTCGATAATGACCTAATAATACCGATAATAACCTAAAAAAAACACTTTTTTTTTCAAAGAAACTTCCACACTGCCACAAAAGTTCTGTCACATAGTTTTTTAGTAGCATATGAATTTAACACCCAAAACTAACCAAACGTTGCCCCCATTCTCGGATTCAAAATAAACATTATTTTGAAAGAAATATTTTTGAATGTCAGTTTCTGTGTTTTTGTACGATAACACTATTTTCCGGAATATTTTTTAAAAGATAATTTTGGAACCAGTTTTTGAAAAGTTCTGCACTTTTATCTTCATGACAGTTCAAACTAGAAGATCTTAATGTCCTTCGCGGACAAGCAAGCAGTTTTGAATAAAGCTCTTTATTTGATGGAGTTTTTGTCTGACTGCTATCCTTGGATACTGTATCGAACCAATTTTTGTTTTGGAAAAAAAAATATCTGTCTTACTTTGTCTATACTTTTCTAAAGATTTTCCTCCACTACAGACGACAGCAAATTTTTCCTGTATACAGGTAAGCCTAATTACTATTCGTCTTCCCTTTTCAACTCGTTCTCGCTTAGGTGACTGAAGACATTACCTAAGTAGAGCTTTCTGCTGTAGATGCCTTCCTTTAAAAAATTCTTTATCCTGAAATTGCCAAAATTTACTATCAGATGTCTTCATACATTGCAGTGTTTGTTGCTACCTGACACACAAACTCATTGTGCAACCCGTTCTTAAAAATGGCCGCTCTCATCCGAGCAGTTTTCAAATTTTTCAGTGAACCCAGTTTTTACTCCAGCCTATACTCTAAGAAGCTTTTTCGAAACGCAAGGTAAAACGGATTATTATTCAACACTGCCATTGATCTGATTGATAAATCTAGAAATGTTGTTAATGTGTTGCCCCAGAATTCTATCATTTCTTACTAATATAGTAAACTCATGCCTCCTTGCAGGCGTGGTTCCAGATGAATGGAAAGTTCCACGCATTACTCCACTTCCCAAAAATAATAAAGTAGATAGTTTTAATGAATTGAAACCCATCATTCTTGCCTCCTCCTAGAAAAGATTATGAATAATCAAATACGAATTTTTTTGGAATCTAATAACATTTTGCAGTTGTGTAACGACGATTTTGAGTATTACAGATGACATTATAAAATCAATAGATTCGGGTCAGCCATCCGTTTTTTTACTTTTGACTATTCGAAGGCATTCGACACTATTTGTGACGAACTCCTATTAGCCATTTTAAATTATGTCGATTTTTCGGGTTTAGAAGTTTTAGAAGTTTAGGTCAATCAGCTAGAGAAACTGTTAGTTGCGGTGTGCCGCAAGGTTCGATACTGGGCCACTTTTATTTACAATTTACACCAGCAATCTTGTATCGTTTATGAAAAATGCATATTTTTATGCTGATGATACGCAGGTTTATATTCGTTTGACACCAGTACTTGGTATACGGCTCAAAAATTGATCAATGCAGATTTAAAAGAACTAACAGATTTTTCAGCACGTCATGGATTGATAATTAATCCAAGTAAATCATCTGTTATGCTCTTTAGAAAGAATAGGGATCGTTTGGTGTCTGCACTTAACATAAAAGTGAGTGGTAGAGTTTTCCAGTTAACACAGATTTAAGTTTTAGAGAGCAAGTTGTACGCCTCCTTTAAGTTGCTTTATCCTCATCGCCATTTAAAAATTAAATTAACGGATTCTCTAGTGTTAAGTTACTTTAACTCTTGTGACATTTTATATGGCCCACGCCTAGATAAAACTAACAGATAGAGAATTGAGAGAGTACAAAAAAACTGTTTGCGGTTAATTTATGGTATAAGAAAATATGATCCAGTCTCACACAAACTACAAGATGCTAAGTGGTTGAATATGCAGAATAGGCGTAGATTACACTCCTTGGTATTTTTTCACAACATTATTTTTAATAATAGTCCTCCTTACTTGACAAATAAAATAACATATCGGACAGATGTTCATAGGTTGAACCTTAGATTTAGGGGTGTTATCTCTCCACCACCACACAGGACGTCTCTTTTTCAAAGAAGCTTCTCCTATAACGTTTACAAACTTTACAATACCGTTCTTCTCTCTTTAAAAACCTTATCGCCATTAAACTTCAAACAAAAAAATAAAGCAGGAAATGTTCAGCCAACAAGCAAATTGCAAGTGATTTTCGAGTAAGTTCAGTCCTAAAATTTTCTATCCAATTTTTAATTTTTATATACACGTGGACATTTTCTTTTTTTGCTTTAGTTATCTCATGCGAACTAATAATTTTAAAATAGTTGCAATATATTATTTTATACTGGTTGAACTTGGAACAATTTTAATTGCTTTCATCTCCTTTTCTGCAATTTATGTGGTTTATTGGTTTTTTATTGTATTGTAAATTGAACATCGCAAAATAAATGCATTATAATAATAATAATAATTATTATTATTATTATTTTTATTATATCAGAGAACACATCTACACCACTCGAACCTCGAACGAAATTATTGGTTGTTGGATTTACAAAAGGTATGGGGGAGTGCCCGTCAAAGTCAAAACGATATACTTTGAGACACACCATACTCGCAGAATGGAACTAGAACATATCGTGTTCTGTACACAGACCTACGCAAACAACTTTGAGTAGTTAATTAGGTTGTTCGTAGCGTCGAATCTAAACTGCAAAACTCAGAACGGGTAAGCAGATATTGTAGATTATTATTATTGTATTATTATTATTGTAGGTTGTTAGTTCTGAAAGCTATTTTTAAACCACATTTTGGCAAATGTTTTGAAACTTTTTCACTAGGTCCTCCTAGGTAAGTAATTGTTTTTAATTCTTCGTGTTCTGTATTAGGTTTCGGATAAAAAGAGTTTACTGTTTTCTGGATTTGTTTTTTATTTATAATTTTATCGATAATGGATTGTAGCCGTTGTTCAGGACAATTTGTTTAATGATATTAAGTTCTTAATTGTAATTTTCTGATGAGAGTGGCGTATCAAGAGGTCTGTGTGTAAAAGAGTGAAATTCAGCCATTTTGTGTGCATAAGGGTGATTTGAGCTGATATGTATGACTGTGTCCGCGTGTGAAGGATTATGGTAAATGGAAAAATCTAATTTGTTTTACGTTTTCGTAATAGTTAAGTATAAAAAATTAATAGAGTTATCCTGTTCAATCTCGATAGTGAATTTTATAAGATTATGTAATGAGTTAATATAATTTAAAAAATAATTCAATTGCCTGTCCGTCCCAACAAAGTAAGCAAAGACATCATCCACGTATCTATACCACCACAGAAAACTTTTACTTAAAGGATGTTCTAGTATGATATTTTCCAAATTATCCATAAAAATCTCGGCTAACAAAGGTCTAAATGGGTTTCCCATAATCAAACTTTTCTTAGAGATGTAAATCTGTCCATTAAATTCAAAATAATTTTGGTCTAAAGATACTATTAAGCAATCTAATAAATCTTGTTTCACCAATGAGTTAACCTGTTTCCGAGTGATGGTGAAATCTACTAAATCTATCACATCCATAGGTGGAATACTGAGAAATAAGTTTTGTTTTGTTGTTTTTATTAATTCAAAAGATTTTTTTATTGCAAATTTTGGTTTAAAATCTATGTGGAACTATAAAATATTTACTAATTTTGTTGAGAATTTAATTTAACTAAAGCATATAATTTCGACGGTTGTGGATTGATAATTGTTAAAAAATACTTGTCTTTCTCACTAAATAGTGTGGAGTTAGTAATTACTTCCTTGACTTGTCTTTGATATAACTCGGTAGGATCATGATTGATACATTGGAAAAGATCTGGTTTAAGAAAATTGTTGGTTTTTGAAATATATTCTGGGAGATCGATAGCTATGACTGTTTTCCTTTTATTAGCACGTGTAAATATCATGTAATTTTAATTATGCTACACACTTAAACACAGAAAAACACATTTTTAACGACAATTTTGATATTTTACATACAGCTACAAAAAGTAGAAAATTAAATTCATTGGAAGCCATGGAGATTAACAAAATGAGACATTCAAATTTATTGCTTAACGATCAATTAGACTTAAATACCTCCCCTTTATTAAACTTAAATTCTCACCATAACATTAATTAAGGCTTTAATGTCGTTTTTCGATATATATAGTAGCAGGTGCTTTGTAAATATTACATTTGATAAAGACAAGGTGTTGTCGAAACAATCGTCATGTGAAAATATATAATTTCGTGAAAATCTGAACTTTTAGTTCTTATTTATTTTGTTAAATGGATTTTCATCAAGTAAAAGCCAGCTCAGTTCGATTTTCGTGAATTTTAATATGAAATTATCACATGGAGCTTCCATTATAGGCCAAGTGACAAAATGAAATTAATAATATAAAGGTAAAGGTTTAAATTTTTCTGTTGTTGAATTTCTTATAAAATCGTGGATAATATTTTGCAAAAATATCCTTAAGTTTTCTAACAAAATATCTAAGCGATAATTTTCTACAATGGTACAAACTGTGTACAATAATACGAGTAATATCTAAATGCGTGTGATCTTTATACATCTCGCCATCTGCTGCTGAGTAGTGAAACCGACTGAAACGTGCAAAATTACGCAGTTCGTTATCTTCCCTTTTATTCGTTTAACACAGTGGTATTCGAAAATCACTACACCGCACGTCATCGTAAGCAAAGAATATAAAATAGAGGGGAGGGCTCAATGTTAAAAAGCATACGTTTCAACGCCTCTAGTGATTATATCCCGTCATGAAAACGGAAAACGCGCGGGACGTACGGTTCAATTCAACTTAAAGTTAGAAAGGTAAAATGTGATGAAAAAAATATGTCGAATTAGTTTGTTTTTTTTTATTAAAATATAAATAAAGTGCTGTTATCCGTTACAAGCTACTGTAGTATTTTCAGTGTGACGCATTACTTTAAACCGCCATGACAGTACTTTAGTAGTCGGACGCAGATAATAGATGGCACTCGTAACAGTATACGCGACCTCTATCTTATACTCATTGATCGTAAGGCAATATGCTGAAACTTTGTGCACGCAGTGCAAATTACAAAAGGAGTGACGCGATGTAAGTGCAACGTGGATGAATTCCAGTTGGGATTGTTTTTTCTTTTGATATTTTACTTAGAACATAAATAAATACATATTTTTTTGAATTTAAACTTCAGGACGCAAAATTTACAATGTTGCAGTTTTATTACAAAAATCTTCTTTTAATATTTATGTGATTCAAATATTCAAGCAAAAGCTACAGTGAATCTCTAACAATATGTCTCAATCCACATATCTATAACATGAAATACAGAACATACATATCATATAAATAATAATGCCAAAGGACGGACATGTTTTTGCTTGTTTTTTTTTTTTTTGAAGAAAAACAAATATTTCCAATCCGTTTATGTCAATATTTTCAATGATTTAAAAGGAAACCAATTTCTATTAGCATCACCTTAAAACATTATCGCTCTCAGCATTATTTCCTATGACTTTTAATGAAGATTTGGTACTATTATGATAAAGCTAATATTTCAAGTTTAACTTGGGCTGAAGGTAATTCAAATATGAAATCATACATAAGGCGATCAATTTCTTTATTTTATAGCTAAATGCTATTACATTCTGTTACTGGATTCTGACTGCTATCTAAAATGTTGTTGCGAATGTGGGAGATAATTGCGTGGCTATTCGCGGCTCTAAACATTAATTAAGATTAATTTTCACCAAATTATTCAGCAATATTCAGTTAAAATATGCCTTGTTAGCTTGTTTGTCGCATTTGGCGGATAACCTCGGCTGGTGCTATCAGGGCGCCATCATTTGTAATCGTCGTTATTCTGTTGCACGGTGTAACCGACTTCAGCCAAAAAAAAATGGTGTTTGACGTCGCGGATAAAGTCGCTCTGGTCACGGGCAGCGCGTCCGGGATGGGATTCAAATTTTGCAAGGAGTTTCTGAGACGGGGCGTAAAGGTAAACCTTAAGTCAGTTAACTCGATCTAAAATGGAATGGCTACAGCGGGCTTGAAAGAAAAGTGAAGCAATTTTTGGCTATATATAATAGTTCCTTCTTCAAGAAATTATTTTCAAATTCAATATTGTTAGTGGTTAACCAAATGATAAATAAATTCTTGTTTCCAAGAAGACGTTGGAGCCTTCTCTCTGTATGTCTGACATGATAACTTGCATTATCCATAGTTACTACTCTTCTTCTTTTTACGTTAGGATTAAGCACTGCGTTTCCATTAATTTTTTCCCAGGAGCAGGATGCTGAAGACCAGCATTCGTATAATGTTATGGGTGGTCCAGGTGTATTTGGTTTTTCCTCTGTTACAATCAATCTTAACTAATTGTTCATTTGGCTCCTTTTCCGATTTCTGGACAATCTTACTACAAATTGAGTCGCACACATATCCCTCATTTCGTCACGTCTCTTTCGGTGAAATAACGTACATCACTGTTATTGAGCTTGGTATTCCCAGTTCTGTTTAGTTCTGTTATATCGCTTAGGTACACTGATATTAATTATGCCTTTAATTTCAATTGCTTTTTACGTTTGCCTTTAGATATTTGAAAGGCACCCCTCAGATTGTAAGTATGTTGTTAATTTACCTCTCCTCGGTTCTCTTAGTATTGTTAGAAACTTTGTATTATTTACATATACTGGCATGTTAAGCGCTTTTGTTACTTATTAGAATGTACACCTTTATAAGTGATCTTCTTTTTTTTGAAAAATAGTCTTCAAAAACTGAATTCATGTCCTCTTGGTAATTTCTCTTATGCCACGACTGAATAGTAAATCACTCTTCGCTTCCAATATTAGGCTCTTTCCAAAAGTTGCTCACAAATAGATATTTTCCAGTTTAGGTCGAGTTCACTACGTTACTTACAGGGTAGCTCGTTTATTATGAGATGGATGATACTTTTTCTTAGAATTTTAAAATTTAAATTTAAAAAAAATCCTAAAGACATTTGATTTGATTCCTTAGTACTTTAGTACTTTTAAAATATCATATTATTATATATACCAGGTGTTTGCCTTTTCATGGAAACAAGTTTTCTCGTTTTAAATTGAAGCGTCACTGAATTTTATATCAATAGGGACATAATGTAACAATAATAATAAATATAACTATCTATTTTCCCGACCGAAACATTTGATATATATAGAAGGGGATCTACTTTAGTTGAATTTGCTGATATTTTAAAAATAAATAAACACAGGGTGGCCAAAAACTAACATTGAAATTTTGAATGGAAAAATAGTTAAAAGAAACGCCGTATTTTTAGAAATTCTTATTAGCAATCAAACGTTTCTCCATTGTAACATTTTGGCTATTAATTGGTCAAAAAGATAACGGATAACAATTTTTTAGAAATCGTTTACATAGTGCTTGACGTAATTAAATTATTAATACAAAGGTCTAAAAACATAACATTTTTTATCAAAAATATTTAGATATTAGTTGAAAAATATCGAAGTGGTCAAAAACCGACAAGAAAAACTTTTTTAAAGATTAATAGAAAAAATGTAAAATATTTAATACTGTTATAAAAAAGAATTATATATTTATTAAAAATGACTTACTTAGGTGCCATAAAACTGCCAAATATTGCAGCCAACAAAACTGTGTAGTTGTCAGAGCATTTTTCTAATGTTGTATTTTTATTTTAAAAATAGACTTTCTACGATTTGTTCTTTTCAATTTTTACTTATTTATTATTTATTTTTTAAATATCAATACAGACAACAAAGAAAGGCAAAGTAGAAATGTAGTCTGGCGAATATATTTTAATATACATACACGTCAGAGCAAAAGAGGGTGTAGAACTAATGATCCATAGAAAACTGTCTCAAAATATCCAGGAATGCAAATATGTATCGGAAGCTGTTAAGTTTAAATCAGCAAATCAAAAACTAACATCTTCAGAAAACTACAAACCAGAAGAAGACAGAAGAAAATTTTATGAGAAATTACAAGAAACAATTGAAGTATTACCAAAACAAAAATTTAATGAAAGTGTGACTAACTAACTAACTAAGGCGAATCCTTAGTACATTTCTATTCACAAAACGAATTACGAGTAAATAACACCTTTTTGACACAAAGAACGACATAATTATGCATTCCAAAGGATACGAGGAGGTAGATCAATAGATCAATGATAGACTATATCTTAACAAATACGGAAATACATTACACACAAATACTAGATATAAGATGTTAATGTTCTGCTAACGTAGGAAGTGACCACAATCTTGTTTTAGGGAAAATAAGAATGAAAATAAACAAACATAAAAAAAAATAAAAGTTTGGGGAACAAAGAGTAAAGTAGAAAATACAGGATGAATCAATAAAAAATCTCTATCAAGCAAGGTTGGAAAACAAAATAAACGAAAACTCAGTAATATAAGAAGAAGATATAGAAAATATCTGGAGAAAAATTCGGGAAAATATCAAAAACGTAGCAAAAGAAGCGCTCGGGGAACATAAAACCGACAAAACATCCAAAAGAATAAAAAGTACACTTTTATGGTTTGCAAATGGAGATCTGGAGAATGATCCGTGGCCAGCGACAAGAAATGAAAGAATTGAAAGAGGTAAAGGATATCGAAAAAGAGACGTGGACAAACCACTTGGAACAATTGTACAATAGGGAGAATTTAACAACAGAAACCTAGGGTATAGTAACAGATGAAATGCTAGAAATAAATAGTGAATAAGTGGAAGCATTTAAGAAATTAAGAAACCGAATATAAATTATTGAAGTACGAAGGTCCCAAGCTAATTAGAGAAATAACAGCGTTTTTAAACAAGTTAATACAAAGATCACAACTACCGAAAGACTGGAGGATAAGCATAATGATACTAATTTTTAAACAATGGAAGAAACTGAGCCAAATAACTATCGAGGAATTAGCCTCCTATGCACGACTTTGAAAGTGGCAACAAAAATTATTACCAACAAAATAACTCCACTTGTAAAACTCTCCGAAGAACAACAATGTTTTAGAACTGGAAGATCTTATGCTTTATTGACTTAGACAAAGCATTTGCATATACTTTATAATAAATATAATAAAACTAATCGAATATCGAAAGAAATAAAATGGATGCAAAAGTAAATTCAGAGCTAACTGAAAATAATATGAAAATATTGGCCTAAAAAACTAAATCACTAGTAATCAGAGAAAGAACCAATTAGATGTAAGCTGGAACTTGATAACCAAATTATAGAGCGGGTAATGAATATCAAATATTTAGGAATTAGATTATCACATCGTAATAACATGGAATATTAAATAAGAGAAGATATTGCAAAAGCCAATAGAATAGCAGGATGCCTAAACGACACGATATGGAAGAACAAATACTTAAGAACCGAAACAAAATCCCGCGTATATAAATCTGTAGTTCGACCAGTCATGACACAAGACCGGAAACAACTAAGACTCAGAAATTCCTGGAAAGAAATGAAATGAAAACATTAAAGAAAATAGCATGGAAAACACTCTGGGATAGAGAAACACACATAAAAACATAGAGACATATGTGGAATTTAAATCATTAACACAAAAAAAAGAAAGCAAGGATGTAATCAACATATAGATAGAATGTTTGAACAACGGATAGTGAGGATAGCAAGAGATACATCGCCAGCCGGTCGGAGGAGTATAGGACGCCCACGAAAAAGATGGAACGACAACTTGTGATAAAAATTACATTGAAGTAAAACAAGCAGAAGTGCCTAATATAGAAGAAGAAGAAGAATACAAACAATTAACTTAGATCTGCTTCTATAAGGAAGTCGACAAGAAATATATAATAAAGGCTTTGTTATATATTATGTTAGTTGTTACTTGTCTCTGAATCTCTAGCAACATAATATTTTAATGAGAACTTGAAACGACTTTTAGCCTTTAAGTCTTTGAATATATTTTACAGATTCTGTGATAAGGTATCATCTCATAATAAATGGACCACCCCATATATACATCCAGGAATTAGTACTGATGGCTTGTTAATTACAGGGAGTCGTCTTGGCCGATGTAGACAAAAACCTGGGCGAAATCGCATCAAAGGAAATCGCTGCTGAATTTGGAAAAGGCAAGGCGATTTTCGTGGAAACCGATATAAGCGACAAACGGCAGTTCGAGGGTAAGACGACTATAATCGAAGACGGAACGTAGGCCTTTCATATTTGCGATAATTTTAGAGGCTTTCAAATCAGCAATCCGGACGTTTGGCCAGATCGACATCCTCGTAAATAATGCCGGTATTCTAAACGATGCTCAGTGGGAAAGAGAGATTTCCATTAACGTGGTAAATGCATTTGTAGAGTTATGCACAGTCCATTTGCTAGAGAAAATGGAGAGAATTTAGACCGGTTGTATAAATGACGTTTCTTATACGAGCCGTGCGTAGTAACTTAATGAATTAAGGAAAGATGTCTATCCTATTGAACTCGATATAAAATAGAAAAAGACGGCTAGTATTTACCGACCCTAGATCAATAAGTTTTTTCTGTGACATGTGGAACATAATTAATTCAATTTTGATGAGTAACCTATTGAAATTCTTCGTATTTTAACAAACGAACATGGAAATCGGAGGAGTTCATTGGCACACATCGATTTACTTTATTCCATACCATCTCGATAGGGTTAAGTTCGCAGTGCTAAGGTGGTATTTCTTCAGTTTTATATTTGCGATACTCATTTCTGTAGGTATGGGCAATTTGCACCCTCCATGAAGTTACTGGATACTTAAATTCACAAGTATGACATAGGGGGGCGTCTTTTTGAAGTCGCTTAACTCTTTGAAAAAGGGACTTTGCGATCTCCTATGGCACGGTCTCAATCGTATTACCCACATTTATACAACTCTCATCTAAGTAGATATTAAAATTTTGTTGGCGATATTCCTTGATCGCCCTGTGTCGCCAAATTATTCGTGATGTACTTTTGCGGCCACGCTTCACATATTCAAAACCTATATTTTTCATTAATTTGCGAAAGGCACTTTTATAAATTGCAATTAAAGTTGGGAGAATTTTTTTGGAAAGGAAATCGCCATGACGCCATGAACAAACTCTTAAAACCTTCATCATATATCTAATCGCAAGAATTTGACTAACTTCCCCTTTTTTTTCTTTGGAGTATGATTTTTAAATTCGCCATTGTTCTGTTCCACTTCTTACTTCATGTAAAAAATTATTTTTTTTACCAATAGCACTCAGTTTTGAACCGCCACTTACGGCAATGATATACCGCTTTCTCCAATTTGCTAACTATACTATCCACAATATATCCTCAATGTGACTAGGACTATAGTCGTAACATAATTCCATCAAACCACTCAGGTTTTCGGCCAAATCATGGCACGCTTACTGCCTTACTGCATATTAATGATCTAACAGAAAAAAATTGATAAAAATGTTTTACCAATACTCCCCTTATGTGAAATTTCAAAAGCATCCGATTGAGTTGATCATGAGTTACTCTGTAATAAATTAAAGTACTTTGGATTTACCAATCCATCTCTCTTTTTTGTCTAGTCATATTTACGTTATTCTTGGACCCCTTATATCTTTTGTATACATTTGAGGTTGGACATTGAATTGTCTCGAATCTAATCATCTTAATATATTAAACAACACAAGAACCCGATCTTAAGCTGAAATCTAAAACTAATTATGCTATTTGCTTTCATTGGAAGTTCAAATCAAAATTCAATAAGAAAATGAAGATCTTAAATTTACAAATTCAGCAAAACGCTTAAGTGTGCTAGTCTATGCTCAATTGAGATCTAGTAACCATATTTCTAATTTATGTAAAAAGTCTTATATATCCTTCGAAGTACGAAAAAAACTCTCGGAGACATACATCATTTCTAAAGTCACACTCTGTCTTGCATTCTTAACTGTTGCTGAAAAAAACACAGCTCTTTCAGGTTTCAGGACCGATAATGAAGTTTAGAATCCTATAATCATAACTTGTTATTTTATTATTACTACAATTTGTGAAAAATTTTGAATGGTGACTGACTAAGATCAATATCTGGAGCTAGACTTTGCCTTTTGGTATATAAGTACTTTGTATTGGTATTGAGCAATTCTGTTAAGAATTTTGTACCTCGCTCTTCTGCTCAATGATCTCTGTCATTGGAAATTCACATTTTATGACTCTCCCCCGTTAAGGAGCAGCGCATGTGCTGCAAAGCCAATATCGATATTTTTTTCAATGTCTGTATGATCAGCATCTATATATCTAATAGCTATATGACTTGACTGATTTTCCTCTGTCACTTATTTTGATAATAATAGTATACAAGGCTGTTCATTTTTTTCAAATTCCGAATTGAGTCGATCAAAATGATGCATTGCAATGAAACTGCGATTCTTTCAAGTTTCGGAGACGAACTATCAACACTTGATCGACCTTAACATTTCAAATAACCAGAGACATTGATGAAGTATCTTTTTTTTCTAAATTCATTATTTAAGTGTGACGCTACTGTATCCTGTGATATGGTGGAAGATTTTAAAATTTCGTATACTAATTAGAAAAAGTAATTATGGTGTTCTATAAAGCCGAAACGCGAATGGTTTAGACCTCTAAAAGTCTCTCTTGCTAAAGAATAGTGTATAAAAGCATCTGCAGGGCCAGAAATAAATAAAATACTATATTTTAGAAAGGCACGGTTAACGGAATGATTCTTGGTTTGGAACACTACCTCCAAAAATATAAATCAGGACTCGAAGCGGTAATCGTCAATGTATGTTCGGTGTCTGGAATCGAGCCGCTAGACTTTTTTCCCATTTATTGCGGAACCAAATTTGCCATTCACGGCCTAACACTATCGTGGGGTCTTCCTTCGCATTACGAGAGGACCAAAGTCAGAGTGGTGGCTCTATGTCCTGGAAGAACCAAGACTCCACTAATAGAGGATACGACGGGCAAATTCTTGCTTGATGATTATAAAAAAGCGCCAGTCGACGTTGCGTTACTAAGAAAATTCACGCAGACGTAAGTGATATCGAGTCGAGTCAAATAGTCGTCTCACATATATTATTTGTTTCCAGTGCTGACCAAGTGGCTCCTCGTATGATCGAAATCATTGAAAAGGCTGATCCCGGAACGGCCTGGGTCGTGGAAGGAGGCGACGCTCCATACAAATTTGTTCTTCCCAATCGATTCGAGATAGTTGAAAAAGTGTATTTGAATTAAACGCGGTTTATGAATTCAATAAATAGAAATTACAGACAAGTTGGTGCTTAAAACAACTGACTATAGCGTAAATAAGACGCCTTGGATTTACCAACCCGGCAACTACGTACTAAGTTAAAGCTCGTCCAATGAAGTGCCTCAAATTATTTAACTGATTATTATTAATTATTCCAACCATAGCCGGGAGGTTTTATTTTTATATGATGAGCGCCACACACCATCAAATGGAAGGAACAATAGTATCGTATCATTTAAAACTTAAAGTGGTTAGTAAACCTATACCTCTTAAGAATACAATTAAATTTTGCTTAGTTTGAATAAAACTCGATAATTACACAGTGATTTGATGTTTGCTTGTTGGGCCGTTTTTCCAAACAAGCCATATTTTTATAACGCTCTATATCTTAAAAACGTTACTTTATTAATATACACACCTATGACATGAATATGTTTTTTCCATGTTAGGCATGATTTTTAAATGAATTGATCTTTATGAAATTATATGCGATTTGGCAACACTGTACAATATTAGATTTATCTGCAAAGCAACCGAGTTGGCGCAGAAACATCAATACAGCGTTGCAATTGTTGTATTGGTCTTCGTTATTGCGTATTTCTAGTGTTATAAATATGAAAAGAAGACATTGTGTAAACAATCCAAATAACTTTTGTTATATCTGTGGTAGTTATGTCGTAGTAAATTAAAAGTGAAAAATTTATACCACGCTTATTTTGGTGTAAAATTTGACGACCAAGACAAGTCCTGGGCTCCTCATATTGTTTGTTCCGTTTGCGTTGAAGCATTAAGAAACTGGCAAAAAGGCAGGACGAAATGTTTAAGCTTTCGTGTTCCTGTGATATAGCGAGAGCCTATTTTTGTTCGTGTAGTGTCTAAGGATTCAGCAGTAAAAATCCGAAACAAATTGTGTATCCCAATCTTGACTCTGCTATTTGACCAGATGTACCGATACCTTGATCGATACTCCTAGGGCAATAGGGAGGTTATACAAAACTTGCGTTATTTGTGAGTGGGATAGTCAGGCAAGAGATAGTCATTGAACTCGAATAGAATGGCCCTCTAGAAACAAGCCTTCCACCTGGTAGCAAAAATGTATTAAGAGATAGCTTAGCTTAGTTGACGCCAAAGTTTTACTGCCTCCTTTTCATATTCAACGGCAGTGTGTTAAAGCGCTAGACAAAAAGGAATAGTGTTTCAAATATTTGTACAAGAAAAAAAAAGTATTCTTGTTGGGCCGCAGATAAGGACATTATGCATGGAGAATTTTTTTTAAAACACAATGACCAATGTGGAGAAAAACGCCTGGATTTCATTTAAAGAAGTAATTGATAAGTTTCCTGGGAACTCTAAGCACGAACACTACGAAAGTATTGTTCAAAATATGGTACAACACTTTCATCGCCTAGGTTGTAATATGAGTTTGAAAGTTCATTTTCTGTTATCACAATTGAACTATTTTTCTGACAATCTTGGAGCAGTTAGCGAAATAATTGGAGCATAACGAAGATGATGGACTACTGCTGGATGTTAAAACGGGATATGCCCTTAAAAACACACAGCCGAATGTCCAGACAACGCAGCTTTCTGGCAAAAAGACGAAGATTTCACTCAAAAAAGTAGAAGTTTTTTTTCTCACTTTGTTTCACTAGAATTCCACTTTTTTACTGAATTAAAAAATAGTTTTTTCCTTTAATATTTGCAAAAGAACCAAAATTATATGAAATCAGTTTTCAAAATAAAAACATCTTTCAAAAAGTTTAATTTTGTAGGCCTCTGTTATTTAAAAAGTTTAACACCTCAAAGCTAAGCATTTGTTGAGCTATGTTTATGTCTACAAATATTCTGGATGCGTTGCTTGCTGGTAAATCGAACTTGCTGACGTTTCACCAACCATCTTCAGCAAGTTCAATTTATCAGCAAGAGAAAGAAAGGTTCTTTGAAAGATTATGTTTATACATGTTTTTAAAGAACAAGCAACAGTAAAATGATAAAACCTGTATATACTGTAATGTTGGTCAAGTTGAGAATTTCATATTTAAGTTGAAATGTAGAATTTTATAAGCCCCAGAACTTCCATTGCCTCTTTCTTTTATTTATTAACCTCTGCTATCCTAATTTCAGAAGAAGAAAAATGCAGTCAAGAAGTAAACTCATTAGTATTATTACTAATATCTGGCAATGTAACTGAAAAAGAAAACATAGTTCACAACAATTAAATTTACTTTTGTGTCATCAAACAAACGTGAAACTGTTTAATCTAATTACTTAAGCCGGGGTGAACTCTATCTTTCTTAGCTTTATATTGGTGGTCTTGTTTCGTTCTACTACTATCTGCTATTTGATATATTATCTATCTATCTATCAAATAATTCTTAATCAATTTTACGAACAAAAATGGTCTCACAAAAGAATGGGAATATGAAAGAAGTATGAACCAATCTATTAACCAAGACAACAAAAAAATTATTTTCCAAATTGTAAATAACATTATTCTAATTAGGGACCTTGAGTTTTCTTATGTAAAATAAGTTTTTCTCTATTTCTGCTAGAAAGGAAAGTTCCACTTTAAAAGTATCCAATTTGGCCCGCCCTGTACCAAGTGTTAAAGTTGCTTTTTGCTAGCACACAGAATTTGACCCCACCGTCGTGTTTATCAAGAAATAATTTGTTTATTAAGAATGCAGCTTCTTGTTATCAAAACAATAACATGTATTCTATTTTCGGTATTAAGAATTAGGTATATTTAACGCGCGACTACCAATCAAACCATCAGATTGAAGAAATGGTGTTCGATATTAAAAGTAAAGTCGCCTTAATCAGTGGCGGTGCGTCCGGTATTGGACTGAGATACGCAAAAGAATTGCTAAAACACGGGGCAAAGGTAAGGTAACATTAAAACTGCTAAAAGAAAAATAAGAAATATAAAACAACAAAATATTCTGATGATTAGAATTTTTATAAACAAGTAAGAAATATACACAAATATCACAATAAGGAATGACAAAAAATAGTATTCGGAATTTTGCATTAATCAAAAACTTTGGAAAAAACTAAATGAAGTTAATATCTATGGAAGTCAAGTATAATGTCCCGCAAACCCAAAAAACAGCTTTTATTTCATTATTTACCTTTCATCCTATTACCGAAGGTATTGATAAAAAGTGTTTTTTCGTAATTAATGATTTCGCTGCAGGTCCACATCAGCAAAGTGTAATAGAATATTATACAACCACTGTGGTAAAAGGCACTATTAAGATAGAAATTTTGAATTTTAATGTGCCAAGTACTAAATCATCTGGAAATGGACAATATATTGAGGTTTACATCATACATAAATAAGTCAGTAAAATGAAGTGCGCCAAGTGCTTCAAAAAATATAAGACAACAAAAAATCCTTAAGATTAGAATTGTTATAAATAACAAATCACAAACAAACATCAGAAATAAGGTATAAAAAAATAATATTTTGAATTTTGCCTAAAACACTTTGTTCTTTGAACAATTATACTTGTTATTAAGTTTTTAACTATCGTCTTTAGAAAGTATTAATAATATGGAGAATTTACAAAAGTCGTGATTCAGGCTTATTTTCGGCATTCGTTAATACGAAAGAGTGTCCTGCAATGTGAAGAAGATCAAACGGTTAACTAAAGAAGATTACACTTATGATTGAAGAACAGATCTTTTTATTCTGGGTCTATAAACAATAGAGTTGATAACCGATAACTTATGTAAACTAAATGACCCAATGTTAAGTCTGATTTATATATTATTAAAAATATCTAAGAATGATTTTGATTCTAGATGAAATAAGCTTTCTTCTCAAAGGCTTTCAGAACCTAAAGCTGTTCACAAAATATGTTCCTGACAAGCATTTTACAATTAAGATGAGAAGATTTAATATCAGATTCTCGGATTTTCATATATCTGATATTATCTTGAGAATTCCGGGAATAGAAATTGACAAAATTGGCTAAACTTTATATTTATTCTTTATTGGTACATTTTAACTTCTTAATTCATGCTAAAGTTTAATTTGAAATACATTCCTGCTCTTTTATAAAAAAAAAAAGATTGATTCTTTGTAATTTGATTCAAATACTTTTTGTTTCTTATAGTTTTAAAGAATAAGTTGGCAGAGAGTAAAAAACGTCGATTATAGATATTTAGAAAGTTGGATACCATGTACTAGGCAATAGTTCTGCAATCGCTGAATTCTGTTATGGTCAACTTACTTTAAGCAAGGATCATAAACCGTGTCCCGGTAATTCACTTGTGGCAGGACGTACGACTCACAAAGCATAGTTTTAATATTTGTTCGCTATAATCTTCCGTGTTCTATCTATTTGTATAGATTTATTGATTTGCTCTGTGAATCGCAATTACTGATCCATAATCAACTCTAGGTTCCTAATAGTTTTAAAACATGTGCTATAGGTGGATTCTAAAATAATTTGATCCTTATATGTGTTCTCCGATAGTTCCCTACGTAACGGTGGTCCAAATACAATTGCACCCGACTTCTTGAGTCAAGTTGCAGGCAGTGCCGTTTAAATATTAGAGATATTTTACTCAACTCAAAATTAAGCCCTGTGGCTGCTTTTTACTTTCGAAAAATCGATGAAATCGAATTTGGAGTTTACTTAAAGGGTCTGCGTTGATTACTTTTGAAAATTAACTAAATGTGCGATGTACGGCAGAATAAATGACATACATAATTAATCAAAAATTTCAATCCCATCAACTACAATAGCTTATGATTTGATTTTTGATATTGTTTTTAGAACTTTTGCCTCAGAAATAGTTGCAAAACATAACTTGGTAAGAACGTTTTCTTTTTTGTTTTTATTATTGGGTTTTGAAAAGTTAAGATGTTTTAAATATGTCCAGACTTCATTTATATTTTTGCCTTCTTGTAATGGTACAAATGCCGTGGAATGACAATAGGATTCGTTTGTAAGAATATGTTGAATTTTTTCTTGATAGTAAGTTGTGTTCATGAATGACTACGGTAGCATTTTCTATGTCGGGATTAGACTTTAGAGATTTTAGAGCTATGCGTTCACGCTTTCAAATATTAGGAAGCTTTGGTTTTTTAAGGATTTTGCGTCACCAAGTTGGATTTATCAACAACTGAAGCATAAGGAATCCAAAAGATTTGATTTATACGGCAAATAAACATTACTATTATTATTATACAGGGCGTGGTTCTGGCCGACGTCGATTCCAATTTGGGTGCTACGGCTTTAACAGAAATCGACAGACAATTTGGGAAGAATAAAGCCATTTTCGTAACGACGGACGTGACCGACTTCCAACAGTTCGAGAGTAAAAAAAATATCCGATTTTTTATCCCAAGCGGTACTTAACGACTATATGTTCTAGATGCATTTAAAAAAACTGTAGAAACGTTCAAAAACGTCGACATTTTAATAAACAACGCGGGAATTTTAAACGACGAAACCTGGGCAAAAGAAATCTCCATCAACCTCGTAAGTTGGAAGTTACGATGCCCTTTATGATGAATATAAAAATTCGTTATTTTATAGAACGGTGTTGTTCACGGTGTTCTTTTGGGTTTGGAAAACTATTTGCAAAAGTACAAATCTGGATCGGAGGCAGTCGTCGTCAATATATCTTCAATTGCCGGGGTTGAACCGTATGCCGCCATTCCCATATATTGCGCCACTAAATTTGCTGTCCTCGGAATGAGCCTTTCCTGGGGTCTTCCCTTTCACTACCAGAGAACCAAGGTCAGAGTTGTCGCGATTTGTCCCGGAGTTACAGACACCCCTTTAATCGGTGAGATGGCCGGGAGGAATCTTAGTGAAGCTTACGAAGAAATAAGACTTAAGGAACTTCAAAACTGTAAAAGTCAGAAGTAAGTACCTACCGATGTCATGATATGCCAATTAGATACCGATCTAATAAACCCTTTCTAAACGTAAGTTTTGGTTAGTTAAATTTTTAAATATGTTTCACAGAATAAGCCGAATTAGCAACTTAGAATGATGGCACCTGTCAAATATTCAAGATACAACTCCATCTTGATTTTTGAGGTGAACAAAACTCCAACTCCAAGAATGAAGTTGAGCTATTCATTGAAATGATATATCTATGATTTCATAATACCCAAAATGTTAACAATTTAATTTCCTTAACGAAGTAAAAAGTATATTTCCAAATCCAAAGCAGAATAGTCTGCCCAGAAGCTTAACAATCAAAGATTTAAAAATCCATATTACGTTGTATCTTTTGAATTTCACACTTGTCATTGTCCCAACTTCCTTAGAAAACGTCTTTAAATTAAAAAAAAAGCAAATGGGGATGATTGTACTTCGAGTGAGACACTTAAAATAATTTTGTATTTTAGACGGTCTATGGGTTACTTAGATTGCTTATTAGAGGTTTATTTGCATGGAAAACCAAAATGACTGAGTGACATTGTCATTTAATAGGTGTCGCCTCATTGTTCTCATTCTAAGTCGGTTATTCGGTTTAACCATCAAAACTTTATGCAAAGTGTCCAGGACCTTATATTTTTAAATTCCTACATCGATGAATACATCGAAAACCAAAAGGAACTCAAAACTGTAAAAGTCAGAAGTAGAAACCGAAGAATGTCGTAATATGCAGATACTTTTCTAAACGTAAGTTTTAAGTGTCTCACTTTAAATTTTTAAATATATTTCACAGAATAAGCGGAATTAGCAATTAAAATGATGACACCTGTTCAAGATAGAACGCCATCTTGCACCTTTGCATTTTTTCCTCAGTTCAGCATGAGTTCATGATTTCTTTCATCTGCATTTTGATTTATTTGGCTAACAATCCTAGAAAGATCTTACCGCACTGACTGCTACATAGGACCACTTTGACTTGTCAGGTATCCTCCTATAAAATCATTTGTAACATGTTGTATTAAGAGGTGGACTTCAAATATTTTTCCGGATTTGTTATTTTAATTTCGAGAACATGTGGCAGGGGTTTGCCAAATAATTTCCTATATATTTACTTCTTGCGTGATAATAAATGGGATAATTTTGAACCTATATGCCATATATGCCTTATGCTTTTCTAAAAACATTTTTTCAATAAATGTAATCAAAAGCCAAACCAGCAGTATTATACAATGTATTCAGCAATGCCAAAAGAAAAATAATCTTATTAGAAATTAGTATTTTCTTTCAAATAAAATTTTCGAAAAAAAAACAATTCAAATAAACAAAAGTGTATTAAAATTCTTTGTGTGTGTGTGTGTTAAATCTGTGATCTTATTTATTTCAGGCCGGAATACGTAGCAGCAGGTATGATCACAGTTTTGCAGAAAGCTGAATCTGGGACTATTTGGATTATAGAAGCAAATGAAGCTCCTTACCAGTTCGTTTTACCTGACCGATTCAAGTTCACTGATAAAATATTTTTGAAATAAACTTCCACAAATATCTTCTAGTATTTAGTACAATTCTTTATCGTTTATAAACTAAGCCTGTGTTAAAAAAATATTTTAAACTATTACCTGTTGAGCCCATAACGGGTTCACTTACTGACCAAATTCGTAGGATAAAGTTGCTCTATTAGATTAATTTAAAATTTATTGCATTTAAAGCCCAAATAATCGCAACAAATCGCTCAACTAAATTATGCTGCTATACAAATTACGGAAGGAACGTGTTTGGATGGACCAAGAACGTCACCACAGCAGCATGCATTGACCATACATATTCGGAAATGGTTTTTGAATAATGAAGACATGACAATATTCGTCTGAAAGGCATTTAAGTTCTGTTACGGGACCGAGGATGGCTCGGTTGGTAAGGCGTTGACCTGCAAACTCGAACTTGCTGGAGGTTGCGGGTTCGATTCCAACCGGGAGCCTTGGGTGATGTGTGCGTGAAAAATTGTTATCGGTCAATTTTCCTCGGGGAACGCCGGAAAATGGGTGCATATCCGATGAGATGAACCCAATAAAAAAAAAGGTTCTGAAGCAAGTCATTATACTGTGAGCACAGCTTAGAACATATAGAATTTTGTCTGTTATGCTGTGTCTGTGATTTAAAATATCTAAATTCCTTGAAATAACCTCTATTCTAAAAATTGGATGGGTAAATATCAATAAATTCACTTTTACTTAATTTGTAAAAATTACATACATATTCTTACTAAAGTTACTTTTATAGCAGACCTTGAGAAGAAACAGTACATCAAAGATCCTAGAATTCCGTGCAAGTATGGTGTCAAATGCTATCAGAAAAACATGGTTCATCTTAGTAAATACAAACATCCGCCAAAAACGAATGTAAGTGGTTAAATAAGGGTATCTTTGCGAGGTAACTGTTTGAACTTTAGAAAGAAACACCTGTCACACAGCCAAAAAAAAGAATTAAGCTGGACAGAGAACCTACAGAGGAAGTGAATGAAACTGGAATTAAGGGAGATATAAATACATTATTGGAAAAAAATAAAGAGATTCGACCAAACATACTGATTAAAAATACTGGTATTGATACCAGTATTGATTCCCCAAACACAAGTTCAAATATTGACAGGATATCAACTAGAACTCCTAAAAATATCAATGTTAGAGATTTTATTAAGCAGAAATTTTTAGTAGAAATGCCTGATGACTTTTACCAGTTCTGGGATTTTTGCAAAGGAATAAATGAACTGCATCCAGAGGAGGTGTTAAAAACCTTATCATTAATATTTGTTGGTCCATATGACGTTCTTGCTGGAAAATTTAATGATGTTAATGAAAAATTGAATGAAGATTATTTAATTCATTGGAGATATTATTTTGATCCTCCAGAATTTCAGACTGTTTTGAAATCTGATATTAAAACTGGATACCATATTGGATATTTCAGAGATTCTCCTGAGGAACTGCCCATATTTTTGGCTAGTAACTGTGCAAACGAAGATGGCACTTTTACTGTAATGGGAGATAATATTTTCGCTGCCGTCAAGTAGGTATTTAGTTAGCCGTGCTTGTAGATGCTTATTTACAAGTTACTGTACAATAATTTTTTTAGTTTCCATTTGGAAAATATTCTCAAAACAAGTGATCCTTTCAAGAAGCTTAAACTAACAAAATTTCAAAGTATGTTAAAACAAGCAGCTGAAAAATTGAACTTGTCTCTTTCCAAAAATACAGAAAAGATTAAACGAAGGAACAACAAGATTGTCACCAGAAGCTTTAATAAACTGGGCATCGTTGTACCCTATAATAGAAAGTAAGTGGTATTTTTTTATGGTACAAATAAGTAAAATTATTTCAATCAACAGGACTCAGTTGGGTTATAGGGAGCTTTCATTGGGCAACATGGAACTCCATAAACTCTTAAATAACATTCAAAATGCATTGCCCGAACAAAAAAACAAGTACTTGTCCGATTTGCAAGGAGTAATAACAAATGCTAACATAGCTACTGACGAGTGTGATTTTGGAACAGGCATTCATCTAGCTTTAAGTATTTTGGCTCATGGGGTAGACTGTTTGGATCGGTCTATCATGTTGCTGCTTGCAACTAATTACAGATTGCTGAAGAGAGAGGTTTTTGCTAAAATTGCTGAGGCACATATGAGTAACCGGAAAAAAGGAACTGATTTAAGTATTCTTTAATGACACTTTTCTAAGACATTTTAAATAAATTTTTGTATAATAAAAATTGTTGGTTTTAATATAGCTTAATCCCATATTTTCCCTGTTATTTTATTATTATTTGTATTTAAGTAGCAAGTGCTTAATTAATCAATGTCAAGAACTATACTAATTCTAGATCCATTTTTAAGTACATTTTTGCACAACAGTAAAAATACATTAACTGAGTTGTCTGTGATATGACCGTCAGAATTAAGAAACGTCAAAATATCAGTTTTTTAAATCTACTGGACTATCCCATAGCTCAGATCTCCTTAAGAACCAGAAAAATATGAAACTGACGTATAAAGGCGTACTTTGCGGACACGTAAGGCATAATTTGATATTTTAGAGTGGAAAATGGAAAAAAAAAATTTAGAATCGATCATATCGCTTGATAAGGAACTGAGGACAGTGAATCACTGACATCAAGGATAAGAAGGCAGTTAAGATTTAAATAAAATGTGATATTTTCTTTTCAGTTATATAAAAGAAACTGGAATATATACGGAACCAATGCTTTTAATTAATAATTTTGATATTATAATGTTGTAAACCATAATTCTCGATCATTTTCAAATGCCTGGTTTTGATTATCAGTGAGCAGCATAGATTAAGATAAATTCATTGATCTTTTGCGCCATAATTACTAACCAAAACAGTCGTTCTATGTCGTGTGTGTCGCTTGAACGATTGGATGTTATGTGGGTGATTCCGCAATTAAGTTAAATGGGACATAGGAAAGTAATGTTTTAATGTTTAGGGCGTGTTTGGGCCTAAATACTTCATACAATTAAACATGCACTGGTGGGCTTTTAACTGAACAGTGTTTGCGGCTCCGTTTTATTAACATAGCTGTAGAAAAGGCCGTCATTATGTTTTGATGTGTACGTTGCTAGGTTATGCGCCAAGTTGTTTGTGGAGTGCAGTCTTTGTGAGCCCCATTTTGATGTTGAAATGAGCACGTGGGCGGCAAGGATGCACCGACGCGCTGCCACCTTCAGTAACGTGGTTACTTCATGCGGTCACCCCTCAGGACCTTATCCCCGGAGACTAGAAAAAGTAAAATTTGGACTCCCTCTCGCTGACGTTTGTAAGAATGATATTCCGGGACCACTTCTTGTGAGTTTCTCAGTAATATGCTTGATAATAAATATATATATTGTTTTTATTTTTTACTCCATTTCAATCCAGTTGCTATTTTAGATAGAAAGAATGTGGCTATTTTAGGTGTTGATTTTAAAGCTGAACAAGGAGGCACCATATAGAAAAGATGTGTTTCGCGCACCAGGACATCAGGGTGCTATGAAAAAACTCATCCATTTTCTGCAAACAGGCCGCTTAGTCAATATGGACAATTTTAGTGTTTACACTATAGCAAGTGTTTTAAAGAAATTTTTGAGGAAAGTACCTGGAGGAATATTCGGCAAGGATGTGGAACAAAGGTTTTTCCAAGTAATAGAACTAGCTGACTTACAAGAGCAGCAAGATGAAATACACAGGCAAGTTTATTTTTAGAATTTTTTGAATTCAATAGCTTATAATATTTTTTTTCAGAATAATTACATCACTACCAGTGTATACCCAGAGAATATTGGTTTTGTTGTTTGGAACATTCCGAGTTATTGCCTCTAATAGTGAGAAAGCTGGTACTGGTATGACTAGCGAGGCTTTAGGGGTGAGTGTAGCACCAAGTTTTTTCCATTCATGTGTCACTGATGGGAAAACTGCCAAAATGGAAGATGTCATGAAGTTTAAGGTATTTTTTAATGTTAGTATACTAAGTACTCCAAATTTTGAGTATGAAGTATACCAATAATAAACAAATCAATCAAGAGACTTGCCCATTTTTGTTTTAATAGGTTGCATCGAGGGTTATGAAACACTTGATTGAAGATTTTGCATCGTCCAACTTGTTCGGGAGGGACAATTATGAGTATTATGCCAGGGTGACCGGTAGAGTGTTAAGAGTACAAGGCGAGTGGATCTGTTCATTCCAGTATCCCCCAAGCAAAGGGGTATTTTCTACTGAATATATTGCTCTTGAACGCTATCTTTTAGGTGAGTACTGAGTTATAGGAAGGTTTGGTTTGATCTATAGAAATTTAACTTCACTTGCAACAATTAGCTTGCTAACTATTTATCACATACTTAAAAGTTTGCATTGTAGTGCAGTAAAATTAATTGAATGTTAGCTTGAATAGAAAGTTTCCACACTGTCTTTCAAAAGTTGAGCCCTTAAACCACATTTTTTAAGTAATCTCATTCTAAATCTAAATATTTGCAATAATTTTGAATATATGCTTAAGGTTGAAATTTCTTGAAGGGCATTTGTCCATGGGCAAAGAGTCATGGCTCCTATGCGATTATATTGATAACCGGAAAGGAGACTACCACGAAGTAGATGAAGATTGTGATGATGTTGATGTGTACATTCGTTCAAACAATACCGTTTAGTTTTGTATTTGTTTTGTTTTTTTTTTATTCATGCACCTCTGCAGTATTTCAATGTATATTTCCGCCAACACAGTTCTGTGATATTTTATTCGTATTTCTTATAATGTTAGTTCCCATTTAATAATAAACTTCTAATTTTTTAGGCACTGTTTTATTTTGTGTACGTCTTCATTTGTTTCTTCGGTTCGCATTTTAAACCCCTGTTTTATCAAATTTTGATGCATGATTCAAATTTGTTTAGCGCCTGATTCATGTAGTTTTGCCAATGTGTTACATAAGTGTTAATCAAATTAAATTTGAAAATGTATCTCTTAAAAACCTTACTCAATCTGCTAGGACAAAAGGTGATAAAAAATTCCAGTTCCTATTTGTGAAATAATTTTAGGTATGGGATGCAGGTATAGTATATTTTTTAACCTGTTTTTTAAGGCCTCTTAGAGTGAGTGGAAGCGACGTTAATTGGTTTAGCGTATATCATTGCTTCAGTATGTACTTAAAAGTGTGTCATAATATCATGAGTAATAAGCCCAGCACATATTTGTCAGATTTGTCATTTTGATAAAAGAATCTGTTTTTGTTATTTATCAATCTTATCTTTTTAGAAATATGATTTGCCTAATGCTGTTAATGACGTTTCCACTTTGTTTTTTCACTTAAACAACATTTTTAAACATACTAAATATTTACTTACAACTGAAATATCTTAAGGACACAAACGCATATGCAGCCAATCACTCTCACTCTAAAATAATTTCAGCCCTGTCGCAAGGGGGAGAGGAATGTCAGTCTACTCCCGCCCTACTTGAGACAAGCTTACAGCCCCACGTCAATTCCTCGTCTCTTGGGATGATCGCCGAACACAGTCTTCTGGAATCGTGCACGCGTCTTTCGATATCGCTGGAACAGAATGGACTGTTTCAGAACAACACTTCTCATTCCTCTAGCACAAGTCACTCGTCCAAGTACAGCCATCGATGTTCCGGTCCAAAAATGACCCTCGAAGAGCTCAAAGCTGTTAACGCGTATGCTGAAAGCACCCGTAGTCTTAGTTATTTACCGCAGGTACACGAGAGGCAAACGGCGAGAATGAAAACTAGGTCGCAGTGGTTCCTCGGACCGTCGGTCGATTGCACCAGTTGCGGAGGATCCTTGGATTTGCCTCTAAATAAAGCTGATGTGTCGGCCCTCACCAGTGCCCTGCTAAGAAGATCCTCTTCGGGAACGATAGGTACAAACTTGCTTGTTAAAAACTGACAATCATGCATCTCAATGTCTAAGTTACGCTCCACATCAATTTCATTATTCGTTTACTATTATAAACAACCGTGCTAAAAGTTAATTTTTATAAAAAGGAGTTATCTAAATTCAGTATTGTGAACAAATCAAACTTCACCAATAAGATCAAACTAAAAGTAATTGACAAATTGGCACACTTAGTAATAATTATTTGATTGGTCGTCATTTTGACTATTTTTTTTTTAATTCATGCTTCAAATTAGATGTAAATAAAACTGTAATATTGATAGTCAAATATTAAAAAAATATATACTTTGCAACCGAAAATTCTAATTTTACTATTTTTCTTCTGAAATTCGGATTTTAGTTTCTTCTTTGACGCATTGTATTTTAGAACAATAAAAAATAGTAAAGATATGTTTTAAGTAATCCCTGAAAAGTTGCACTATATGTTGTACATTCCTGATGATATAAGATAATAAAATGGTTAACACAGTCACATGGGACAGCCACCGACCACCACAATTGAATTTTTTGTCATCAGTATTTTAATGTTGATAAAAAAACCTTGTAGTATGTCTCACAAAAGTTGTAAGTCATAAATTTTCACCAATAGGCCCGTGGCATCAATTTTAAGTATGAAGAAATCATCATAAATCCTGTTTTTAATAACTGCGGAAGTGAATCTATCATTATGTTTCTATTAAAATTAGATACTTAGTTACCCGATAAGCCCTGTGAGGTCACGATGCGTGTGGAAAATGTTAAACTAACAATATTATATTAGTTAAAAAGTTTACCGACCGTGTTGCATACTATACTTTTCCTACGACAGTTAGTTTTTGGGTGCATTTTCCCAAAACACGAATACATTCACTGACATGACTGTCGGAATTGACAAACGTCAAAATTCAAAGCGTGGGAAATATCTCCGATAACATCCGATTGCTCCCAAACCCGTGCGGTAAAATCCCGGAAATGTCCGAAGTGACTCGGATTCGTGGGAAACTAAACTGACGTGGTAAAGCGACGCTTCCCGCACGCTAGATCGGTGCGTAATTAGGTATTTTACAGACGGTGACATCATGTTTGGTTAATTTTATTTAATCTATGTCAACTGACAGAAACAACAAAAATTTTGAAAGTAGTCATTATCCTTTCTTTATAAAAGAGTTTATTTGTTGATTTGTTTTGACTCTTTATAAGCTTTTGCAAGATGCCGTGAAAATGTTATCAGCAATCACAGCTAGTAATTTTTAATATCTTAGCTTTTTTTCAATTGGAAAAAGATCAAACTAAAAGAGGAAACCTTCCGCAAATTGATGATGTAACTACACAAGCTTCAGATGCAATGCAAGTTAGCTATACAATAATCGTAAATATGACTATACGTTTAAGTTACGGATCATTGCTAAAATTGCTAAAATATGAATATGTAACCAGCGTGACGTCATTCCAGAAAGGTAATACGCCAACTATAAATCCCATGGAATTGTGGTCATATTATTACTACAGCATATTAGTTTTTCTACTCCTGTATGTAAAATACCTAATTACCCACCGATTTAACGTGCGGGAAGTGTCACTTTACCACGTCAATTTCGTTTCCCACGAATCCGAGCCACTTCGGACATTTCCGGGATTTTACCGCACGGATTTGGGAGCAATCGGATGTTTTCGAAGATATTTCCCAAGCTTTGAATTTTGACGTTTGTCAATTCTGACGGTCATGTCAGTGAATATATTCGTGTTGTTTTGCGAAAATGGACCCAAAAACTAACGGTCGTAGAAAAAGTATAGGCTACAACACGTTCGGTAAACTTTTTAACTCACTCGTTTATTAAAAACTCGTTCTGCCCGTGTCAAATAAACTCGTGAGTCAAATGCGGTTTACCGCACTTGTTGCATAATATACTATAGTGTGTGTGTGTTTTAAACTCGTTGATAATAATGCATCGTTACGTCAGTGCTACTTTTGGCGGGTTTCAAACTTCGAATGTGTCTAAATTTATTCTGGGCTGGTGTATTTCAAAAATATTTTTCAGCTGCGTTGTAAATCTACTAATAAACATTTCTAGAAAATAAAAAAATAGGTGCAAGTAGCTTGTTAGATCATCTATTCCATTAACATTAACATTAAAATTAAAAAATACAAGGGTACAATTTAGCGAATTTTAGTTATTTTTTAGAATAGTTGTTAGGATTTTAGTTAGTTTTGGTTGGTGGTGGATCAACAAGTGCTTTTGCAATTGTACCCGATTGAGGTTATAAATTCGAAAAGTTAAGTTTGAAACATCAGACAACCGTAAACGTAGGAATTTAATGAAAATTTAAAGGTTGGCTAACTTTTTGATGTTGACCTTTGAGAGTTTACTCTAAATTAGTGTTAATGTTTATGGATGCTCGCGTGAGCATAACGATTATGTTTTGTTGATGATCCGGCATTGCACGTTTCAGTTGGAATAGCCGGTTTGTCTTTAAGCGCCGAATCGGTGCAGAAAAGGCCTAGCGTTAAGAGGACCGGTTCGCGAGACAAACGCTACCTTCAGCGATCCGTCAGCAGGAGAAACAAAGAAAACGGTTCGAGATCTAATAGGTAAGTGGTTCGATTCGCTAGGTAGAACGCTGATGCATTAACTTATCGATCTCTTGGTCAGTTTCAAAATGAGAGGCGAAAAGAAAAGTTCGTGTTCTCGATCGGGTAGCGTCAAGCTGAAGTACGAGAACATATCGAGGTCGTGCAGTTTCAAAAGCAAGGCGGAACTATGTTCCTGCCCGGTGGGGTCCGGCGGGAGCGTCGACGGCGGGAAAAACGACGACGCGTCGAAATCGGACGCCGCTAAAACCAAAGAGACCATATGCGTCACCCTTACGTATAAACCGCGTATTTAATCGACATAAGACTTGAACGGCAGTTGCCAACCTGTAATAATCTTTACGCTTATTAATGTTAAGTGTATCGTCGCCTGTAGGTTTCAATTTGAGATAATGGCCATTTCGGATATTACATATTCAATTCGGTTCGTTTGACTAAGTGCAAATTTTACGGAATGACATTGAGAACAGTATTTTTATATTGAGCCCTTTGGCTCGTTTTTAAGTACAGAGTTGCTGTTGTGAACCACAGAATTTTTGAACTCTGCCAGGTTTGAGGGTTTTTGCAGGTTTATTTAAATTATCCTCCTTGGCGTAGAAATGACGCCATCTGATTTTTCTTCAGTATTATTTGCTTTCATTAAATCTATCAACTTTTACTTACGTATTTTAAAGTTAGCGACAGTTTCCGCAGGGATTAATAAGCCACACTTTTAGCTACTTGCTTCAAATGTTGCAGTACAAATCTACATAAAAAAAGTAACTCAAGTTTTACGGCATTGAGCGAATATTTTCGTAGTATGGTCTGTTTCGAAGTATATCGTCGGCAATGTTCAGGCATAATAAGATCACTTTAGCACTATTACGAAATGTGATGATAATAAATAAATACAAATTAACATAATGTTCTTTTATACTGTATCCGGTGTATCAAACCAAGTTTCAACTAGGTAAATTATTCATTCGTTTTCAGTTGGCTTTTTTGTAATTTCTTGTAATATCCTGTGCGATGCAATTGCCACTCGTTTTTTGTCTATTGTGCGGTATTTAAATCCCATTTTACAAATCACTCTGTAGAGGCTGTTAATAATATCGGGGGTTCTTTTAAAGCTTTTTGTTTAACGAATCCACTACTTATTAAATATTCATACACATTTTTCGCAAGTGATTTTGACGTGACGTGACGAAAAAATTAGTGATATGCTTGTATGAAACGGGTTATTCAACACTGCCACCTGCATCTACCTGACTCGCACCCTACTTTTTTACTTTTTGGGGAGAGGCTCCTTCCAAATTCGATATACTTTGAGACACACCATACCTTCGATGTTAAGACTGTATAGGGGTTTGTAGGCAACTTTAGAAGTTGCATGTAAAAAAAATAAAATTCCAGAAAATTTTCCTTTACTTTTATGGTCAGATTTTTAAATTGTTTGCAAAACGATTTAGGTTACGAATTTGATTGGAAATGTATTTACTGCTCCAAATGGCGGATAAATTGCTTGTAGAAATTACACCGCCACCAAATATTTGCAAAATGATAAAGGTAATAAAAATTTAATCATTATTTATGAGCAGTATTTACCAGAACTCGTTATATGTTATTATAGGAAATAAAATCGGCTCTATTCACAGTAAATAATAAAAACCGAATTCCTCATTTATTTTTGTTTTAGTCAGTATTCTTTTTACAAGGTGCCTGGGAAACCGAATTTGGAAAAAACATGTATTTTTACATATGAGTGCCAAGATCGTATGGACTCGACAATTGATTTTTCCTGAGACAGAGTAGAGAATCGAAAATTAACAAAAATTACATTACTATAAATATTTCTAAATATTTGAGGTGTTATTATAAATTTAGCTCAAGACTGACCGATTGACCATTGACCAATATAAAAACGCAATTACTTGGACGAAATTTTAGTTTTTAATAATAATACCATTATTTTTGACAAAATACTTTTGACCCTTTTGATGCTTTTATTATGTTCAACCTTGTGATAAAAATAAAAACTAAAATGTTTGGTCGATCGTATGTGCAAACAGCAGCGACTCTGCATATTTTTCTTTTCTCTGGTGCGCGTCCTATTATGCAAAGTTCACAAGAGCTCATCGTTTGACGGATTTTAACTTTGAAGTTTTCAACGTTTTTAATCTCAAGTCGATATACAAATTCTTTAAGTCTTTATAATTTTTTGAAAAATTAAGGCTGGTGTAAATCATTAAATATTAATGAGTTAAATGATAATGGGCGCAAATTAATTTTTGAAGTTGCTTAATCTACTGGTGACCATAATTTTGAACGGATCAATGCAATGACATAATTTATATCCAAAAGAGACCTAACAAATTATGATAGAATTTATATAAACCTGCTTTCAATAGAAACAAAAAATTATGAATTTGGAACCAATGTGGAGGAGATGAATACGACATAAAAATGTAAAAGATTCCATAATAAACAACTTAACTATCCCCTTACGTGTACATTAAATAAAAACCAAATGGTTTAATTATAATTAAAATGTCAAACAAAACAGGGCAACTGTTACGGTCTGCTTTGGATATAATAACATTGTATCAATTAATGTGTAGATATTTGATTAATATCTGCTTTATTTATTTATCTGTGATGTAACCTGCTTTCCCTGATTCAGACAGAATATCTCGGGTTTTGAATTCTTCATTCGGTTTTATGGTGTCTATCATACAACCCAAGATTTCAACTAAGTAAACATTCCAATTTGGTGTGTGCCGTTATGTAAGTAGTTAAGTCGTTTTTCGATAAAATGTACAATACTATAATTATCCTGCTTTAATTAAATAGCTTCACCATATTGTACACCGATTTGGCAATTCTACCAAAAAAAATGAAAACACCAGGAGGAGACCAATAGAAGCAGCTTTTAAAGTTTTTCAAGTATCTTATATATAATGTATACACAATACTGGTTTGATATGAATTTTTTATATAACTTAAGGTATTTTATATTTTTATTTATTCTAGAACCATTAGCCAAAGATTGTTTTATTGACTGTTTAAATGTGCAGGTACATAGTAATAATACGTGTTAGTCTCGATTATCACCTGGACGAAACAATTTGTTGTTGAAATATTAGCAAAAGCAAAAGTGAAAAATTTGGATCGGCGTTTGCTCGAGATATGTAGCTTGTTTGGAAAACTGTTTCCGCAGTACATTTTTAGTAATTTGCGAGTCTCAATATGAATCTACGGACAAATGAGACAATTGACTTCCAAATTGGGGAAACAAACTCATTATTCGGTTTTATATTTTGAGAGTGTGACACTGTCGAGCTTGCGTGTTCCGATTATTTCGCCTGCCAGTTGAGAATAACGTCAACAAGATTTTTAGATGTGTGTTTTTTTTTTTTTTGTAAAAAATATGTAAAGATATACAGTATATATCACACAGTAATGTGTTGTATTATGCAGTTAGATGGATAATTTTTAAAATTTGGTACAAAATGTTATCATAAGTTGGGCGTACAATTGACTGACGCCGTAGCATACCGCATAAGAAAATACAGTCCATCAACAGTAACGTTCTTCTAGGGAGTTATTATTGTGCATACTGTATTTTGTATGTTATGGGCTTATGAAAGTGCATGTGTGATAGACCTAATAAATAATGCATAATAATTATAAATTTCATATTTATTTTGTATTCTTTTTCAAGTTTTATTAAAGTGTACTGTAATTTTTGACAAAGTTTTATTTACCCAGCTTCGCTCTTACTCATTTTTCAAATGGTGGTTCCTCTAAATAAGTGCAGCGTTCCCTAGTTAGACTGGCCGCAGTTGGGATGTGTGTCGTTTAACAAACTTATTTCATAATATACTATCATACAACACAAATAGGTGACGTTAAACTGGCGGTAATTAATCAACACCACAGGAGGATCATAGTGACGTCAAAGATTCATTCGAAGCGAGTTGCATACCTTATTGGTGGTTTGTTTGGAAAGAACATATTTTATACCTTTTTGATGCTATTGTGTTGACTTTTAATCCATTAAATTTCACTCAACCATTAAATACTTAGAAATTACCGTGCCTTTTTGCCACACATGAAATTATTTTCCACAAAGATTAGCTTTTACAACAATCAAGAATAAACTAACATAGGAAACGACAATTTCTTTATTTATGCACATTCTAGTGCTTCTGCAAAGGTTTATCAGTTATAAAAGAAGTTTTCATTCTTTCATTAGCTAGTTAGCTTTCACTGTACACGTACTAAAGAAATTTGACATATTATTATCATCGGTAGTAAAATTAAAAGTTTCTATTGGAGGATCATATAACTGATAATATCTTGATCAAGTGGGCCGAAATGCGTCGCTCGCTAAGTCATTGTACATATTAATGGCCCAGAGGTAGAGAGACTATGCTCTTTATTCGTTTATCGAGTTAGCTTGAGCTAGCTTAGCGAGTCTAAGGAGAACAAGGCCCTTGAGACTCACCAATAATGGCGATAAATTCTGACGAGAAACAACCGAAGTTAATGTGTGTATTCCCGAAAGTTGACGATTTACGTTTGTGTATTTGACAAACGGAAATACTGACTTGCCTTCGGTGTAGGAACCAAACTAACCAACTATGTCATTTATCTCTACATATCTTAAAGTCACATGTGTTCGTTATTTCCCGCCAATATATACTTTTGTCTGTTTCGCGCTTTTTGCGGTGTTAACAAACAGAAATGTTTTACGCTTGTGATTTGTGATGTCCTTTTATTTTATGTTTTTTATTTAATCGTAACATGTCCGGCTTCTCTTAATTCCTTCCCTGAAAATGGTTTTTGTAAATGTAGAGGCTGATGTAGATCCGAATCCTTGTGGTTCAGACCCCAACAAGAAACACAAACAGGAAGATGACGTCCATGCAGAAAGCGAAGATTTCAGTGTTCCGAAGCGAACTAAACGCACGACTATTAAAAACAACATAACAAATGAAATCACAATCAAGGGACCCAAATTGAAACTTCAAAAGTGTAATGTATGCAAACAAAACTTGGACAATGTTCTTATTTACAATGGACACCCCAATAACTCCAGTGAAGAATTCATTGTCCTTACAAATGATAGGTTATCAGTTTTTAATGAAAATAATTTTTTTGACGATCAAGATAATTTTCCCACGCACAAGGTTTGTTGAGGCATCTCTACTGCTGTTTTTTTTGCATAGTTTTAGTTTTAGATTACCCACTTTAGTGTATATGATGAGAAGGGACACTTGTGTCCATTTGATACAGGTCTGGTTGAAGCTGATGTTTTCCTTAAGTTTTCCGGTTATGTTAAACGAATTGATGAAGACAATGCTAGTCCAGCAAACGGAATTCCAGGCCACGATTTAGGACCTATTATTGAATGGTAAAAATTAAATTTTGTAACAAAAAGCAACACAAAAACATAGTATTTAGGTGGACTGCAGGGTATGATGGAGGTGACCTAGTTCCTATTGGCTTTTCTACCCAGTTTGCCGAATATTATTTAATGGACCCTTCTCCTGAATATGAAACAATTTTCAAATGTGTTAAGCAAAAAATTAAACTGGCAAAGGTTGTCATTGAATTTCTTTTGGACAAGTACATGGAGAATCCTAGTTATGAGGATCTGTTGAGACAAGTTGAATGTTCAGGCAGTTATCTTTCAGCAGAGGATTCCCTTATCCAAAATGCTCAGTTTATTTGTGATCAGGTAATAACTTTTGTGCTCATTTACTCTTAAGAAGGCAGCAAGGTATCACTAACTGCACAAAATTTTGTTTGTTCAGGTCCTAAATATCGATAAATACTATCCAGAAGAAGAACCTCCCCTTATTACCCTTCCGTGCATAAGATCATTGGTGAAGCTGGCTGGTGTGAGTTTCAAGATAGGAAAGAAAATTCTGAGATTAGAAAAGGTATATATGTATATGGGAATCTATGTGTATTTAATGCTCCTAAAAACTTAGGGCGAAAAAGGTGCAAAGAGGACAGTTCTATCCAAAGCAGTGACCACCAAGTTTGTTCGGGAGTTTTTCGAAAAAATATTTCCAGAACAGATGGATGACAAGCAAAGTGAAGGTAAAAAAGCACCAAAAAAACACAGATGTGGGGTATGCGAGGCCTGCCAGTCTCCTGACTGTGGCGAATGCAACTTTTGCAGAGACATGCTGAAGTTTGGAGGGCCTGGTAAGATGAAACAATCCTGCAAGGCCCGAAAGTAATTAAAATGTTTGTTGTCATTCAGATTGAGTATAAAATGGTTTCAGGTGCCCCAATATGGCCATAGCAGACGCAGAACTTTCAGACAACGAGGATGAATTAGATTCCAAGAAAGTCATTAATGCTAAACAAAAATTGTGCTCAAAAAAGATACTCCATAAGGATATTAAATGGGAAGCCAAATGTGAGATCAAATATAGAAATAATGATACTTATTTTTCAGTTATAATTGGTGAGTAAATTTAGATGCCCTATAAAAAGCTACTAATATCTTTGGTATTTGCTTAGATGGGGTACAGGTACAGGTAGGCGATTTTATAACTTTAAAATCAGAAAATCCCAATGAACCCTTATGGATTGCTAAAATTATCCACATGTATGATGCTTTCCCTCAAAGATTTATGTTCCACGGTCTGCTGTTCTGTCGCGGTAGTGACACCATATTGACCGGCACGGCAGATCCGAGAGAACTATTCCTTGTGGATGAATGTGAAGAATTACCACTGGGAAGTATTATCCGTAAAGCAAAAGTGGAGTATTTACCTATGGCAAAAGATTGGTTCGAACTTGGGGGACTTACGGATCTTGAACCTCAGCTCGAAGATGATGGGGAGAATTTTTACTTCTCAAAACGATACGAAAGCGAATTTAGTAGATTTGTGGACATACAAAGCCATGAGCTTAACAATGACACTTGCATCTCTTGTAGGTAAGTAGTTCACTATCCAATTTTAGATAATTTATAATCTTAATGTAATCTCGTCTTTAGTCGTAAAGCATCAGAAAAGCGTTATAATACTGCTGCATACAATGATACTGATGGCACAGTGAAGTGGAAGGATAATACTTATGCTGTTAGCAGTGGAGTGTTGTTGGACCCTGAAGTGTATAATTTTTCAAAATACCTATCCTTAAACCAACCTGTCTCGGTAAATCTACCTTAATTATCTTTTAAAACTTTTAAATTCAACTATTTAAGTTTACAGAAGAGTGATAATGTGGATGAGAGGGTTTATCCTGAATATTACAGAAAGAAGAGTGACTGTATCAAGGGCTCTAATGTCGACACTCCCGAACCATTTGTAATTGGGATTATTGAAGAAATAAAAGCAAAAAAAAGCAATATTGATGTTAAAGTTAGGATTTTTTGGCGGCCCGAATACACTGGGAATATACTTCTGTCTCACTTAAAAGATTTGAACTTCGTTTATTGGTCTGACGAAGGTAAAGGCAGGAAAATATTCTTTGATTTTCTGCTAGCATTGCCTTTTGTAGTAATAACAACATCATTTGAGAACGTTAAAGGCAAATGTTACATCAGCTGTGCCGCAAATGTCCAATCTGCAACTGACTGGTGCATGGAAGGGCCATTAAGGTTTTACTTCGATGAGGGGTTTAATCATAAATCGAAAAAATGTTATGAACTTCCCTCTTCTGCTAAAAGGATTGGAATGAGCAAAGGCAAAGGTAAATAATACCTACCTATCAGTCAGCTCTTTTTTTTTATTGCAAATCATAAAATCGCAACTCATAAGCGAAAGCAAAATTACATATTTTGCTTTTGCTTACATAAACAAATACTAAAAAGAGTTACAGAATTATTAAAGTAGAAATAAAAAAATAATAAAAAGAAAAGCATTTGATCATTTGAAAAAGTGGTTGAATATTATTTTCAACCGCTAATGTGTTGCATATTCTCTGTGTTATATAAATGTATTCCTTAGGAATAAAGTCAAAAAGTAAGATGACAATGGACAATGCCGTGGAAATCCCACCTGCATGGGGTAAATTGGAGCAACCCCTTAGAGCAATGGATATTTTTGCCGGATGTGGAGGTCTGTCAGAAGGTCTACACCAATCTGGTGTATGTGACACAAACTGGGCGGTAAGTATCTCTATTGTGGCTTATTTTGTTCAAACGTAAATATGTACTTTTAAAGCTGTAAATGTTCATTAAACAGCCTTGCTGACTTGCACACAACAAGTGTACTAAGATTTCTTCATAAATTTGTAATTTTTTTTAGTCACAACTTACTTCCTTACTTCATGCCACTTAGAGATGGTTTTCTTTTGTAACTCCAAAAATTTGGTTGAGTTTTGTGGTGGCGTGGTTTAGAAGAAATTAGAAATTTAAATCATAGCTCATCAATATATGCTTCATTTGAATTAAAACTTCTGTAATATAATAATAATTTGGAAACTTATTGAGAAAAAGTACAGTTAAAATAAAAATTAGCTACCATTAAAATTTGGGTCAACTTTAAAGTTAATTTTCCCGCAAACTGCTGACTCCATTTGGATATATTTTTTTTAAATTGTAGATATCTTGAGAAGCCCTGTTATATTTTTATTTAAATTTAAGTTTTATGCTTCTACAGGGAAAAAAATTATATAGGCAATGTTTGACACATTCTGTGAGAATTCCCGTTAACACTATTAGGGAGCTGTCTAAGTCAATGCAGAGCCCATCTTTCTCAGCATTTGTTTTTTTTATTCATATCTTTATCTATCTAAAACCTACTATCATAAAAGAAATTGGGTTTCCAAATAGTTCTCTGCAGCTTTAAGGTAGATTTCAGTTCGGTAAGTTATAAAAATGTTGCTTTTGCAATTATTTATCTCAGATAGAGGGGTTGTAAGTTCATATCTCCATTTTTGCGGTAGATTTTGGTACGATAAAAGTCGGAAGAGTAGATTCTGACTGGGATCTTATCAAAATCGGCAACTATTTCACCCAGAAAGGGGGTTTTACAACAACAACAAAAGCCGAAGATGCCAATTTTGGCTAGTATTTGAACGATATTGACCTGTAGATGTAACTATTTGGAACGAAAAATGATAGTTTAAGCTGGTTTCTGCAGATTCTGGCTAGGATCTTATCGAAATCGGCTACTATTTGACCCAGAAATTGGGTTTCACATCAATATCTAATTGTTTATTGACGTTTTCGCTACAATAAAGTTCGATGATGCCAATTTTGAACGATATTGACATGAAAATGTAACTATTTGGAACGAAAAATGATAGTTTAAACTGATTTGTGCAGATTCTGGCTGGGATCTTATCGAAATCGGCGACTATTTGACCCAGAAAGGGGGTTTCACGTCGTTATCTAATGGTTTATTGACGATTTCGTTACAATAAAGGCCATAAAATGCCTATTTTTACTAGTATTTCAATGATATTGACGTCGATTAATATTGTTTCCATAATGTTTTCTACATCATCCAAGGTCTCAATATCCACCTCATTTAAATAACTTTGAACTACATATTCTTGCAGTGGTCTGACATTGTAAAACTCCTCTTTTAGTCTGAAAAACTTAACATTTGTTTGACATTAAATTTTGTATTACATTTAAAAACTGTGATAAAGGCGTGCATAAAAGCACAAAATGCTATGAAAAATGAGGCAGGCTACACCTTGACTTAGACAGGCACCTAATAGCAATGACGGAAATTCTCCCAGAATGTGGCAAACATTGAACTGTTTTTTCTTAAAACGCTTTGCACATGCAAAACTTAAATTTAAACATCTTTTTCCATACCAGGCATGTTAGTGGTGCGTGACGCGAATTTAATATTTTGGTTCTGTGGGGAGTTATTCCATTTAAAAAAATTACACGTGTTATTTTTCACTTACTTTCCTTTATTCGTTTGTTTAATTTCACGGGAAATCCAGATGCTTCATTATGTCAAGTTCACTCACATAATTTTCCAAAATAGTAATAGTAGTAATGAAAAAGTAATTCGTTTCAGATTGAATTCGATTTGGCTGCAGCCCAAGCGTTTCGTTTGAACTACCCCAATGCCAAGGTATTCTCAGACGATTGCAACATTATCTTGAAGGAGGTATTGAGCGGCGGAGGCCAAGAAAAGCTCTATCCTCAGAAGGGACAGGTAGAGATGTTGGTAGGCGGTCCGCCCTGCCAAGGATTCTCTGGCATGAATCGGTTCAGTGCCGGTCAATACTCGCATTTCAAAAACTCCCTGGTGGCCACCTACCTGAGCTATTGCGAATATTACAGACCAAAGTATTTCGTACTGGAGAATGTTAAGAATTTCGTGTCCTTCAAACGCAGCATGGTCCTAAAACTGACCATTTCGTGCCTGATAAAAATGGGTTACCAAGTGACGTGGGGGGTGTTGCAAGCCGGCCATTACGGCGTACCACAGACACGACGCAGGGTTTTTCTAATGGCCGCCGCCCCCGGCCACGTGCTTCCTAGATATCCGGAACCCCAGCACGTGTTCAACAAAAGGGGCACCCAGCTCTCGTTCGTTGTCGACGATTGTCGATATTCAAACGGTAGTGACGAAAAAAATTCACCTGGAGCCCAATTCAACTACTGCTGATTTCAGGGTGCGAGTGGACCGAGTCAGCGCCTTATAGAACTATATGCGTGAAGGATGCAATGTCAGATTTGCCGCCTATTGCAAACGGGTGTAACAAAATTCAAATGCCTTATGACGGAGAAGCAGTGTCCCATTTTCAACGATTGATGAGGGGCAAAGAGGAAACTGACCTAGTGAGTCCATGCGACAAGTGCTATAAATTATTCTATCCTATTCATTTTATAATTTTTTATTTTATTTTTTATATTTTTTGCTGAATGTTGATTTTTGGTGCCGAAAAGCTCTGAACAAATAGCGAATAATAATGTTCTCATTTTTTGAAAGCGCAGTTTTTCTAATTTGTTTCTCAACATCAAATTCAAAAACACTCTTCATGTTCAAGAACAAAGTTTGCCAACATCTGCCTTAAAGCAACTGTGATTTCAACTTTAAATACTAAGATACAGGTAGGTCAACTAAATGTGCGTCTACCTGCCACTCTCGGGGCCCTTGACAATTACCTAATACAAAGGAACCCGCTGTAAAATTGCAATACTATAGATATCCCTTAAATAGAAGTCACCCAAGGAAAATTTCTATCCATTTTTCACTTTTATGTATAGTTTTGTTCTTAAAATTACAAGTTTTCTGATCTGTTTTTGTATTATTCACACAGTTAGTTAGAAACAGGCTTTTGTAATGATTTCCTTGATGTTTAAGGTTATATCTAATAAATACAAATAGTAGCTTAATTGTCAACAACAACAAACGTCAACGTAACACTCTATATTTAGTCTAATTTTATAAAAAATGGGAACAAAGTAAATATTACATTAAACAAGAGCAGTAGTAACTTGTTATAAAAATTAATAGTTTTGGTTAGTTGCGGTTATTATAGCTCGCAGATTTTCGGAATGAAAATCCACCGTAATACATTATTCTACATAATTATTGTGACACCAGCCCTTAATAGCGTTTGCGGTGAGCATGGGACAATTATGGTATCGATAAATAACAGAATTATTGGGATAAATAGATCCAACAGAAGGCAGCATAATATGCTCCAAAACATTAAGATAATTTTCTAAAGATCCGCTTAATCAGTTAATGACTTCGTTAATGATATCGACACTTTCGGTTTTAGTCATTCACAGTTTACCACATAATAATAATAATAATAATAATAATAATAATAATAATAATAATAATTAATAATAATAATAATAATAATAATAATAATGATAATAATAATAAATACATTTATTGCTTTGGCAACTGTATATATTATTACACTATGAAATATTAGATGGTACCACTTTTAAGTCAAACAAAAGGCCTGATGAAACGCAGACATCCAACAAAGCCAGATGCTGTTAAAGCTTCAATTTAATGCAAACCAAATTACCCTAAAAACAAGAAAAAGAAAACAAAATTAAATATGTTACGCAGAGTTTAGAATACATTAATCATTTAATGTAGTTTCCAATAAAGAGAGGAGTCGCAGGACAAAGGAGAAAGGAGGGAGTAAGTGTAAATGGCAGAGTGATTTTCCGATACAGAAATTATTGAGATTGAGAAGATATTTTTTATACCGGTTTTTAAAAGTGTTGGTTGAATTTGTTAAATCGAAAAGGCTTAAATTATTAGTAATATATTGTTAAATAAAATTTTGTTACAATGTGCATTATGTACATGCTATTATTTTAATGGACACATTCTCCCTATACTTTAGAGATCTTAGGATGAAATTGTCTTCTATGTCTGTTTTATATGTGAGATAACTTTGTCTCTTGAGAAATATAGAAATCATATTTTACACTTTTACATAAAAAAATAATTATTAAGTTGATGCCATAATCTTGAAATCTTGATATCATAAATAACATATAATATAAATATAAAATAAAATGTTGTATATCACTCGTGCGCTGAAACTCATTACAGTATGATCCCGCCTAGTAATATGGTTAATTAAAAGAAAATTCAATCTTCAAAACTTGTCATTTTCTACATCTTGAACTAATCAAAAGCAAAATTTTAAGGTTCCTAAAACAAATCTAAAACTCTTTGCTTTTTTTTTTTGCTAAAGTGCAAAAATATATATATTATTTGCAGGTGTGCGATCATATTTGCAAGGAAATGTCGCCCCTAGTTGAAGCGCGGATATCACATATTCCTACGGGACCAGGTAGCGACTGGCGGGACCTGCCCAATATCTTTGTTAAACTGAGTGATGGGACCACAACAAATATTTTAATTTATTCACATAGGTAAGTAAATAAATCTACTTTACTCGTGGTCTGGATGATTAAAACTCCTTCTTCTGCGGTTTGTTTGTTTTACGTTGTACTATCTTTGTAAATAGTTTTGGAATTCTTTACAAAAAGTAAAGTTCATTTGGTTAAGATTTCTCAACCCTTGTTTGAATTCTTTTATGTATATAGTGCTTTAATAGTATTGAAAGGGAGTTTATTACATACTTTCATAATTGGATGATTATAATTAACAAATTTATTTATTATAATTTACAAATTTCAAGGAAAATCAAAATGAAGACTAATTGAGATTTTCTAGAGGCTGTCTATACATGTGCAACTTCCATTGCCTATTTTGGTGAGTGGATAACTAAATATATGTTATTTACTGCAATAAAAAATATTTCCCAATTAAGAATATGGTTCAATCCACAAGTAATTATTTGATTGGAAAGGCATAATTTCATAATATCAAAGATCGGAAAATATTTCCCAATCTTTCATTCTACACATTAAAATGTTTGATCACATACAACTGTTTCAATCTATCTTGGCAATTTTTGAATTGCATACCCATTCTCGGATAATGGTTAGTTTCACCATTTTCAACTTTAGGTGTTACATAACTCTCCTTAAACTAAATAAGCGTAGCTCGAAAAGTGCAGTGCGGACTTACTTATATCAGTTTTTATTAATTTAATTAGTTTAGTAGAAATACCAGAGGTAGAGGTAGGTTGAAAGAACATTGAACCTTGAATATTGATAAGAAAATGGTTATAGCTATCATTCTGTTTCGTGTCTGTTTATGTTAATTTTTTTAAAGGAAGATTCTTGATTTTCATTTGTTACCTCATTAATTAGTTCCCATGTTTATTTCTATAATTTGCTTTGCCTTTATTTCATTTATAGTGATCATTTTTTTTGTATTCTTTTCAAAAAACTCCTGTAGTTTTTATATTAATGTTTAAAATTTTTATTAGTTTCTTATTTAAGACATTTTTACATTTTTACATTTGTAAAAGGTGAAGGGGTTGCAGTATTAAGTTTTTCATGTAACATTTGCAAAGACTTTTGGGTCCTGTAAATTATATATATTTTACCTTTAATTCTTTGAATAAAAAAATCTTCATCAAGTGTCGTCATTTGTTTATCTAGATTCAAATTATATTATTAAAAAATTATCTATTTTAATTTAGACAAATTGAATTTGTATTATTTTTTTAAAATGACAAGTAAATAAATATAAATTAAACATGAATACAGATTTAATTTTCCAGATTGAAAAAGCAAAAAGGCACGGATCAATGCAAAGGAGTGTGCCAGTGCGCGACTGGAGGACCTTGCGATCCTTCAGATAAGCAAGTAAACACCCTGATTCCCTGGTGTCTTCCTCACACAGGCGACCGTCATAATAACTGGGCCGGCTTGTACGGTAGATTAGAATGGGACGGATTTTTCGGCACCACCATCACCAATCCCGAACCAATGGGTAAACAGGGGCGGGTTCTCCACCCCGAGCAAAACAGGGTAGTAAGTGTACGGGAATGCGCCAGATCCCAAGGCTTTCCGGATAAGTACAAATTTCATGGAAATATTTTGGATAAACACAGACAAGTCGGCAACGCAGTGCCGCCGCCAATGGCAGCTGCTATCGGCAGAGAAATTAAGAAGGCTTACTTGGAAACCATCGGAAATAAACATTGAATTGTTCTTTTATTGTGTGACCCTTAGTTAAGAATAAATATAATAAATATAATAAATATAATTTCAGTGCTTATTATTTGATATGGAACCATTCCTATCCACGGTTTGAAAAATACTATTACAAGCTCTAGATTTCGCCAAACTTAAACCCGCAGATAATTTTTTGATAATTTGTCGACGTTTTGACATCTGGACCTTTCGTACTTCTTGACATTAGTCCGCGATACACATCCAGGAAGTCAACAATAAGATGTGTTAACTTTTAGTTTGCGGGAAACAGGTCAATATAATGCCGGAATTGAAAATAGCGGTGATCGGGGCGGGGGTGATAGGTTTCACAACAGCCTTAGAATTGAAGAACGCGTTTAGAAACGCGAATATTGAGATTTTGGCCGATAAATTCAATACGGAAACAACTAGTTCCGCGGCGGCAGGGGTTTTCAGACCTGGGACCAGTTTTTGCGGCCCCACGGAAGAAATAACCAGGTAATAGTTAGTTGGATAAAATATGCATAAAACAAAATACCAAAATTTTGGGGACGCAGTGTTTTTTTCCTATTTTTGTATCATAGAACAGAAATGGTTACGTTAAATTACGCTTTTTATGTCAACCCTTGAATAAAAATAAATTAAAAAATATTTAAATTTTTCTAAAATGTTATATTATTATTTCTTTTTAATCTTTTTTTATTATTGAGATAACAGGTTTCACATGATTCATATTGTCAAATTTGAGGCAACCACATCAAGAACTTGATCAATAAAAGTAGGAACAGCAATTTTGACACCTGACCTTATGTTTGTTTCGTTATGGTTTATCACATCTATTGAGCGTTCAATTTTAACGGCGGTTGGTATCATAGATATTATTTAATATATTAGGGATTTAATTTCGCCAGTTTAGCGCGACATTGGCCTGCCACGGTGACGTCACCCGGCCTAATTCAAAAAGTCTGGTGCGTAAAACCGATTCGAATATCTCTTTCCATAAAAATTTACTTAAAAAAAATAACAGACCCATTCGTAAACATTAAAACAATTTTATAAAAAGGAGTTTACCTAATAAAAATTTAGAAACAATGCTTGGTCGTATTTTATATATAACACTTACGTTTCACCACCCGAAAATGTAATTTATAAATATTTACTATATATTCCATATATTGGCCAAATGTTCCAAAATTTATTTTAGAAAAAACTTCAAATATTTTACCATTATTAATAAGAAAACCAAAAATACTTATAGTTTTTTTTTTAATTGGAAATAACCTATTTTGTTTTTGGGACACCCGTATATATTTCACGAGCAAATTTTTGTAAGAATTTCGTACCCACTCCGTTGAAAGGTAGCACGCAGTGATCATTTTTCTCGAATTTTTACTAGGAAATGGATAGAGGATTCTTATTACTATTGGGAGCATCTGTGCAATACCTCCGAAGGAGCAAAGGCTGGTGTAAAACAATTGTCGGGGTACATCTTCTCCAGTCAATATCCCCACATCGTGAAAGTGAGATTTATAAGCATGTCAAAGCAATTTGATTAGATAAGTTTGGAATAAATTGCATATTTAATTTTAATGTTGGGAACCCTCCCTTAAACCATACTCCTGCTTTTCGTCAATTAAAAAATATCTAAATTTTCAGCCTATTTCGTAACTAAATTAAAAAATTAAAAATTAATAAATATTAAATTAAATAAATTTAATAAATTAAAAATAATAATAATAAAATATATACATGGCATTTTTATAGGGATTTAAATATTTTTTAAATAGGTATAATGTATAAATTAAGATTTTGCTTTTTTGTGTTGAGTATATTTTTTGTTTAATTTAAGGTTTTCAGAATTTTATTTCATTTTTGTTTGTTTTTTATACTTATTCGTTTTGTCCTGGAAAAATAAAAGGACTTAAGGAATTATTAATAAAGCTAGTGCGTTGCGACTTGCGTTATATATGGTTCCATGTTTAAAATAATGGATAGTTTGTTATATAAACATTGCGTCAATAATGTTTTCATTTCATATCTGAAAAACGAAAATAGAACAATAAAAATTACTATCATAAAAACGCACGTTCTTCATATTTTTAATTTTTGTTTTTAAATGATTGCAAGGGATTGACTTTGACTACCTCTATCTATTTTCTTAACTAAACTAACGTTTTTTTATTTTCTTTTATTTTTTGTCTCCTACAAATTGTTCATAAAACTTTTCCAAATAAAAAAATAAAATTTAAAGCAATGCGTAATAATAATAATAAAAAAATGCATAATGCAACTTCTGAAGATGTTTCTTATTATTGTTTCATTAGTTTCGGAAATATTTATTAATAAATTATTTTGAAAATTCTACACTTGTAATTTTTAACCAATCAAAACGTGTTTTTTGACATGGCAACGGATGAAAAGTGAATTATTTTCCTAGTTGGTTTTTTAAAAACTACTGGTGTGGAGTTTTCTTACCCAATACTACACGAGGTCAAATTAAATCCGGAAATTAATTAAATTACTAGTACAAATATAATTTTTGAGAAGACAATTAATACAAAATTTGTAAAAAAATAGAACTGTTTGACAGTACCCAACTAAATTATTTTTTTTTCGACATGCAATGCTTTACATTACATTTTTTTATTTAAAAACTGTAAGTTTTATGGAAAAATTGCAAGGACCAAAAAACTTTCTAATAAACCCGTCTATTGAAATTATTTTTTTCTGTCATTGCGTAAGTTGTTTCCATTAAAAAAAAAACATTATTTTTCCGCCATTTTGTAGAGTAATATCTCCAAAGTTTACATAACAAACTACCCTCTATATTAAATGAAAAAAAAAGAATCTCTGTGTTTGTGTATGCTTCTTTAGAATTTATTTTGTACTATTTTATATAACTCTATTTTGTGACTTGTAAATTACAAAGCATTGTAAAAATGCTCCCTATCCTAGTTACTTTTCAAATTTTGGCAACTTATCGAGTTTTCTTAATTAAAAAATTTATTTCTGAAGTAACTCCACAGACGAAACTATATCTACCGTTACCTTAATTAAAATCATTTAAAATGGCTAAGCGGTTTTTCTTTTCAGAACCGATACATCGAAAAATTAGTTCCGGTGTACCGGGCGGCAACCAGCGAAGAGCTACAACTTTGTCCTGGCAATTGGAAATACGGATCGTTTTTCATCACTCTGCTCACCGAATGCGATCTTTATTTACCGTGGGCAATCGAAAAGTTTATCAATGCTGGTGGAAAAATCACTGGGGCAAAGGTCGAATCGCTCGAAACGCTCGGGTTGAATTACGATGTCGTGGTCAACTGTACTGGGTTGGGCGCCCGGTACTTATGCAACGACCATAAGGTCGTGCCCATAAGAGGACAGGTGTATAAGGTATAGTCTGTCTCAAAGTATATCGTATTGGCTCGTGCCGGCAATTATCTAAATAACCCGCTGACGGCATGTAGGATAGAGCAGGATGAACTTCCAAGGTGTTTTAAAAATATTACCATTAAGTATTCTTTTATTTTTTAGTTAGGTATAAAAAAATCACAAATTTGCTAAATATTTCTCCATATCACCGAAATTTTTCCCGTATTTCGTCGCATTATCCAAATATTTCACGTATTTTGTTATATGAAGAGACGGGCCTATAATAAAATGTTTTTTGTTACCATATTTTATAATAACTTTAATGCTCTGATTTTTAAAAATACTCGTTTTTACTTATTACTTTTTAAATCACTGGTTTATTAATCAAACTCATGACTAAAGTGGCGTTTATCAAATTTGTTGAGTTACGTTGGAAAGGTCCTTTTGAAAGCACAAAAACTTATTAAAAAATAAGATGCGGAGATGTATGTCGTTTTGATGGATGTGAAGTAGATTTGGTGGTTGCAAAATATAAATATTCAAATATCAATATTTACAAAACCTACTACGTCAATTCGAAAAAATCAAGCGCCAAAGTAGAAACATAAAATAAGTTGTTACTGAACCCCACTTTTTAGTTTCCGGGTTTAATTTGACCTCGTGTGTTATTCCGTAAGAAAATCCCACACCAAATTGTGTTCTGAAATGAAATAATTAAATTTTATTTTTCAATTTCCAAAAACGTAAATATCTAAATGAAAAACTGAAAGCTTTTTTTGGAATATTCTAGCTGCTAAAAACTTAATTTGATTTTCAAATATCGGATCATATCTGTTCTTCTATTTTAGATTAATTTTGAGCTACAAGTGGCAGAAAATTATAGTTTAATCAAATTTAATGTGCTTCGTCAAAAACATCACAAAAATCACAGCATAATTCCCTCAACTAAAACATGTCCACTAAAATTCATCCGTCGCCAGGGTGATCTGTCAAAAAACATATTTTGATTGGTTAAAAATTACAGTTGTCGAATTTTCTTTATAATTACCTAAATAAGAACGATTTTATTCTGTTTCATTGTCAGATTAGTCATTAAGATTTACCGCCGACTCTATGTTATTTTCTAAGCGCATTATAGATTCTGCAATTTTAGTTGTTAAGATATGGAGCTAAATTAAAAATATTGTATTTTCAGGCATCCCTCGTGTCTCAACTATCAGATAATTTATTGGAAATGTGAAAACTGCCTCTCTTATGTAACCCGTAAAACTCAATTCCGCCTTTATTTTCTCATAAGAAACACCCTGTATAAACTAAAAAGTTTCAAAAATATATAATAGTATGCAATTTTTCTCAGAAACAAGAATCTCGGATGACTGATTCTCTTATAGGTGACAGGTAGAGACCTGAGTCGCGGTTAAGATTGTTTCGTTAAGAGATTTCTATAGATTCTCGGATTTTTCTTTAGTAGGCGAATTGATTACATGCAAGAATTCTAGTTTTATTGAATAAGATTTGACGCGCGGTTTCTATTCGGCAGCTGCTGATATTTTTCGTCCGGTCTCTTCAATTTATTCATTCCGTATATCCGAACTCCCGATATTTCTTTGACGGATCAAAGATGTTGAGAGATTTTTGGACAAATGGTAAATCTGTTTTGAACGTTATATTTCTTAAAAACTTTTGATGTGTGGTCAGTGATGTTTTGAATGTAAGAAAGGACAGTAATGGCAAGTGTGAGATTGCTTAGATCTTTGTAAGGTTGCGTTTTGTTTTGTTGTGTTTAAGAGACAGTTTCCACATTTTCGATAAGTTACCTGATAGTTGAGATACGATACGATACGATACGAAATATTTTAGCTGTCGATCTGAAAAACTAACTGAAAATTTAGTTAACAGCATCTTTAGTTTAATCAAAAAAGGACCCAGTGCTGAATTTTTCCTACTCTTAACAAAAGTCAACACCATATACTCTGGGACACCTTTAGATCAAGTACGTCGACACTTAAAACAACCGTAGATAAAACAATTGGAACTAGGATTTACGACAGACTGTCTAAAACTGTTTGATTTAACCCCAGCAATGTGAAAACGAAAAGCTGGCAAAGACAACGCCGTACAACGAAATATTGTTTTACTAATGAAAATGGCCTTAAAATATTCTACTATAAAAAATATATCACAATATTCGATTTTGCGTCTTCGTAAATACTTTTTTCTACTACCATCTGTAAAGTACCTAATTACCCACCTATCTAGCGTGAGGGAAGCGTCACTTTACCACGTCAGTTTCGTTTCCCATGAGTTCGAGCCACTTCGGACATTTCCGGGATTTTACCGCACGATTTGAGAGCAATCGGATGTTTTCGGAGAGATTTCCCACGCTTTGAATTTTGACGTTTATCAATTCTGACGATCATGTCAGTGAATGTAATCGTGTTTTGTGAAAATGTACCCAAAAACTAACGGTCGTAGAAAAAGTATAGTATGCAACACGTTCGGTAAACTTTTTAACTCACTCGTTAATTAAAAACTCGCTCCGCTGCTCTCCGCTCGTGTCAAATAAACTCGTGAGTCAAATGCCGTTTACCGCACTTGTTGCATAATATACTATTACAAGACTGCACCAAGAAACCTATAAGAAATGTAATATCAACTTAAAGATTTTTGAAGTAATGTCAAAACAGATCCCATATTGGGTGTCTATTTACTTGTTTTTCAACTCAAATTGCACGAATAAAACTACAAAAATTAGTCACCGTCATCCAAGTACTATTACAGGTGAGAGCTCCGTGGATCAAAACCTTCTTCTACGGCGATTACGACACTTACATTCTCCCCGGTTTCACCAACGTTACGCTCGGGGGTTGCAGGCAATACGAATCTTACAATTTAGACATGGACGAGTATGACGCGCGTTCGATCTGGCATCGCTGCACGTCGTTGGTGCCGAGTCTAGCAGGCGCAGAGATCGTTGCGCAGAGGGTGGGTTTGAGGCCGCACCGGAGCGAAGTCCGATTAGAAAATGAGGTGAAGAACATCAACGGGAGGGTGGTTAGGATTGTGCACAATTACGGTCACGGCGGATATGGGGTGACAACGGCACCCGGCACTAGTTTACACGCCTGTAAATTGGTCAGGGAGGCGTGGTCGAGCAACAGTAAATTGTAAAATATTATAGTGTATTATTAGTCAAAGTTAATATAACTTAATACCATCCACGATGAAATTTTATTTCATAAAACCCAGATTGTGTGCGTTTGTTTTTTTTTAATTGAAAATAAATACAGCGTGCTTTACAACAAATGTGAAAAACTTAATTGTAAATAATGTTTTAATTTTTTTTCCCAAAAACGACACTAGATAGAAATAAAACATTAAATAAGTTATAAAAACACACTTTGTGCATGTTTTTTTTTTTAATGAGCAGATGGGGATCTATTCGAGTCCTCATCATTTTTCTTAACTATTTAAAGAAGAACATGCGCAATAACCTAAAAAAATAATTTCCGCAGAAGGGTTTATTAGAAACTTTTTCCCAATAAAATGTAAAGCATTGCATGTCGAAAAAAAAAATAGAAAAATTGTTTATTTGGATGCTGCCAAATGGCTGTATTTTATACCAAAATAAAATATTATGGTGTATTATTAGTCAAAGCTAATATAACTTAATACCATCCACGATGAAATTTTATTTCACAAAACGCAGCCTGTGTGTGTGCGTTTTTTTTTAAATTGAAAATATGTACAGCGTGTTTCACAACAAATGCGAAAAACTTAATGGAAAAATAATGTTTTTAATTTTTTCCCAAAAACGACAATAGATATAAATAGAACATTAAAGACGTTAAAAAAAGAGACTTTGTGCATAGTTTTTTATTTTTCTTTTAAATTAGCTGATAGAAATGAATTAGAATTTTTCTTAACTATTTAAAGAAGAACTTGCGCAATAAACTAGACAAAAAATAAATTTCGATAGAAGGATTTATTAGAAACTTTTTCCAAATAAAATGTAAAGCATAGAAAAATAGTTTATTTGGGCTCTGTCAAATGGCTATATTTTCTGCCAACATTTATTAATTATCTTCTAAACAACATTTAAAAAATAAATTATATTATTTATTATTATTATTTATTATTAAATTATAATTTATCTGGAACTAATTGATCCATTCATGCGTAAACTATGAATAAGTATTTTCAAAATTAATCAAAACAATTCAATTCAGTTTTTTAGAGTAACTTTGCCTTCCGTTATAATACATGCAATTCTTTTAGATATCCTAAAAAAACAATAATTCAAAGGATGTAAATCTTTTTTTAAATTTTTAAATTTTAATACATGTCTCTTCTAGTTAACAGTGGTAAAGTTTCTAGCAAAGGACTTAATTCTTCTTGTAAAAAACGAAAATACCAATCAGTTAATATTAAATGTAAAAAATGTAGAATTATCATCGATAATCCTTAACCAGGCGTTAATGGCAAACTGATATTGATGTCTACATTCTGTTATTAAATGCGGATTATCTTCAGACCATACATGAATGTTGTGAAAGTTTTAAAAATAAACGATCATCGGTGTTCATTCGGCGAAAAAAATACATTGAATTAAAACTTTTACCATTGAATAATCGAATGATTAGATAATACATTTGGATTAAATTAGTCGTATATTCTATTGAAACTACAACTGAACAATGCCAAATAAAGCAGTAACAAGAAACGCCTAAGAAGTGACTGCAGTGCACTAGATTTTTTTTCAAAATAAACTTTTTTATCTCGTTATGTATTGCTTTAGATTTTATTTTTTTATTTGGAAACGGTAAGAATTATGAAAAAAAAATATTTTTAAGTGATTGCATAAGAGATTAAAATGTGTTTTGGTAATTTTAATTTTTCCCCAACATTTTACTGTTTTCATTATTTTCAAGATAAAAAATAAAAACATTACTTTTCAGCCATATTTATAGCGCTATTGTTCCCACACTCTGTATAGCCCAAATTTGTCAAACTTCATTTCAGTTAATAAATGAAATACGAAATTTAATGTCAAACGAACAAGTTTTCCAGATTAGACAGTAGGTGAGATTCGGTGTGCTGCAGGGAACGGTTCTGGGACCGCTTTTGTTTTAATGTTTACTTTAACGTGCGAAATGGAGGTAGTATTTGTTGTTTTACAGATCACACCGCTATTACATATAAAATAAGGCGTTATTCTTGGAAAGCTTCATTACAAAAATCTGAGCAAATAATTAGTGGTATAAAAGTTAATAAGTTATAAAAAATAATAATAAGTTATAAAAACACACTTTGTGCATGTTTTTTTTTTTAATGAGCAGATGGGGATCTATTCGAGTCCTCATCATTTTTCTTAACTATTTAAAGAAGAACATGCGCAATAACCTAAAAAAATAATTTCCGCAGAAGGGTTTATTAGAAACTTTTTCCCAATAAAATGTAAAGCATTGCATGTCGAAAAAAAAAATAGAAAAATTGTTTATTTGGATGCTGCCAAATGGCTGTATTTTATACCAAAATAAAATATTATGGTGTATTATTAGTCAAAGCTAATATAACTTAATACCATCCACGATGAAATTTTATTTCACAAAACGCAGCCTGTGTGTGTGCGTTTTTTTTTTAAATTGAAAATATGTACAGCGTGTTTCACAACAAATGCGAAAAACTTAATGGAAAAATAATGTTTTTAATTTTTTCCCAAAAACGACAATAGATATAAATAGAACATTAAAGACGTTAAAAAAAGAGACTTTGTGCATAGTTTTTTATTTTTCTTTTAAATTAGCTGATAGAAATGAATTAGAATTTTTCTTAACTATTTAAAGAAGAACTTGCGCAATAAACTAGACAAAAAATAAATTTCGATAGAAGGATTTATTAGAAACTTTTTCCAAATAAAATGTAAAGCATAGAAAAATAGTTTATTTGGGCTCTGTCAAATGGCTATATTTTCTGCCAACATTTATTAATTATCTTCTAAACAACATTTAAAAAATAAATTATATTATTTATTATTATTATTTATTATTAAATTATAATTTATCTGGAACTAATTGATCCATTCATGCGTAAACTATGAATAAGTATTTTCAAAATTAATCAAAACAATTCAATTCAGTTTTTTAGAGTAACTTTGCCTTCCGTTATAATACATGCAATTCTTTTAGATATCCTAAAAAAACAATAATTCAAAGGATGTAAATCTTTTTTTAAATTTTTAAATTTTAATACATGTCTCTTCTAGTTAACAGTGGTAAAGTTTCTAGCAAAGGACTTAATTCTTCTTGTAAAAAACGAAAATACCAATCAGTTAATATTAAATGTAAAAAATGTAGAATTATCATCGATAATCCTTAACCAGGCGTTAATGGCAAACTGATATTGATGTCTACATTCTGTTATTAAATGCGGATTATCTTCAGACCATACATGAATGTTGTGAAAGTTTTAAAAATAAACGATCATCGGTGTTCATTCGGCGAAAAAAATACATTGAATTAAAACTTTTACCATTGAATAATCGAATGATTAGATAATACATTTGGATTAAATTAGTCGTATATTCTATTGAAACTACAACTGAACAATGCCAAATAAAGCAGTAACAAGAAACGCCTAAGAAGTGACTGCAGTGCACTAGATTTTTTTTCAAAATAAACTTTTTTATCTCGTTATGTATTGCTTTAGATTTTATTTTTTTATTTGGAAACGGTAAGAATTATGAAAAAAAAATATTTTTAAGTGATTGCATAAGAGATTAAAATGTGTTTTGGTAATTTTAATTTTTCCCCAACATTTTACTGTTTTCATTATTTTCAAGATAAAAAATAAAAACATTACTTTTCAGCCATATTTATAGCGCTATTGTTCCCACACTCTGTATAGCCCAAATTTGTCAAACTTCATTTCAGTTAATAAATGAAATACGAAATTTAATGTCAAACGAACAAGTTTGCCAGATTAGACAGTAGGTGAGATTCGGTGTGCTGCAGGGAACGGTTCTGGGACCGCTTTTGTTTTAATGTTTACTTTAACGTGCGAAATGGAGGTAGTATTTGTTGTTTTACAGATCACACCGCTATTACATATAAAATAAGGCGTTATTCTTGGAAAGCTTCATTACAAAAATCTGAGCAAATAATTAGTGGTATAAAAGGTTGGTTGGACTCACGTTTGTTATCATTGACTATAAATTTGAAGCATTTTTAAGACGAATTAACTCCAAATACTATTTACCATACATCTGGATTCCTCCTGAGTCGGCTATTGGTGAATTTAAATTGTTGACGCTTCTTCAGAGCTATATACTATATGCTATATACACTATACACACATATACACTACTTATATATTTTTTGAGGTAGGTTGGAATTTGGAATATTATATTTAAAAGGTTTTGATTTTTTGAGTCAAAAGTAATGTATAGGGTGTTTCGTTTAAAAAAATAAATTACAAGTCGATAACTGATGAACCCGTATAATTATCCCGAAAGCAAAAATTTAGTGCGAAAATTTATATGTGGAGCAATTTCCTTGTATATAAATTATTAAATAAAACTGGAATATTGTAAAATACGCCTTGTGCCTCAACGAAAACAGCAGTGGAATTTTCATTTCACAGAAAATGAAAGATAATACTGTGAAATCTGAATTTCACGCTTAAACAAATTATTCAGTGAAAAATATCGATATTCATCAGCGTTTTTAATGTATATCTAAAGCATCGACAGTACCGAAAGTTCAATGCCGGGGTTCAAGGGTACCAACTTTCTTCGGTAGACGGTATAGACCCCCCCCCCCCCATTTTACATTAGTGGTTTATTTTACGTCAACCGTGTGTTGAACGAACCGACGGTAAAGAAATAATATTTTTCTCGTAAAATGGCCGATCATTGCCTGTTGTGTTATTCTATCTTCACGACTATAGTGGCGTTCTTTTATATTTTTCTGGACGTCAACTATTTTTTGCGGATCGTGTTTACGATCGGATGGGGCAGGTTGTTCGATAAACGCCGAAAAATCGACGAAACTACCGAAATTTACGGTGAGCCTTTATTTATTTATTTATTTTTTGTGTGGTATTAAATTCCCTATCACTTTTACTTTCTATCTTAAATTTATTCCAAAATTGAACTCTTGAATCAAACAAACGAAAAATGATTAAATTTTCTTGCAGCGTTGCTGCAAAATATATTCTTTTCTGATGTAAGGGGTTTGTTTCAATCAACTTAGGCCCCATAAAACTCAAGCTATGCGTTCAGAATTAACACCATACTTAACCAAAAATCCCTAGGTACTATAATTGATATTTTCAAAATAAAGGGTGTCTATTATCGCTGTACAAATTTGAATAAGCAACATTTTGATTATGGGACAGCCAGAATCCACTTTATTCTACAATTAATGCGCTTCTTAAAATGTTTGAATCACGGCTGCTTAAAAAAAAATGCTTTAGCTATTGCGGTATTTAAATAATTATAAAACACTAACTTAAAATATAATAAAGTAAAGTCCCAGAGTTAATTGAGATCGATAATTATTGATGTAAAATCCGTTATTTAATTTGTGGATGTAAGCTACTCTATAAACTAGCAAGCAATTTGTATTATAAAGGATGTTCTATATGCCCACCTAGGTTCATTTCGCACGCACAAAAAGTTTAGAAAACTTTCCGAATTTCCACTTCCATATTTTCTTTTGTTCTAGGAGCCACTTGATATACTCTTTCCTTTACATATTCCTATAAGAAAAAAATCTAAAATACTGGACCACCTCTGCTTATACAGCGATTATCAAATCGTTCACTTCAAAATTTCAAAATTTTTTAACTGCCAGGCCATAATGCGGAGAAGAAAATCCGCTACCTCTAGAAAAAGCAGTAAATTAAAAAGTCGGGCATTTCGCAGCATTTCCTAGTACTTTTCTGTGGAACTTCAAATTCATGTTTTTACTATAAATCACATTTTCTGTGCTTTCGAATCCATTCTTCATTTTTTGTGATTGACGATGGCGTCTTTGAGGATAACGTTGGGCATTCTGGAGGTTAAAAGTTCCTCGACAGGTAAATTCATTTTATACAATAATAATAAATGATAGGCAATTTATAAAACTAACCAAAACTGACTGTCAAATTATTTATTTTTAAAGCAATCTTGATTGAAATATGTTTGACATAGTTTTGAAATAAAGACGAATACCTCAAAAAGTACGTGAATTTGGGTATAGGGCACACTTGATGCAAAATAAAGTGCTGTGTTAGGTCAATGGAATGAAACAAAAGTTTTTTTTATGTTTATCGGGCCTATGGAGGGGCAGTATATAGAGCGTCCTATTTAAAGCTATATAACCAAAAATCTTGCAACTTTAGTTAAAAGATTTTTTCCTATCCAGTAGTATCAGTTTTGTATATTGTTTTTGCTTAGGTTTGATACCAAATGAACTGGTTTAATTTTATTTACTGCTAGTTATTGGTATTCATTTCCTCAAACAATAAAATGAACCGAACTGAAAATTTACCAAACAGTTGAAAAGAATCAGAAAACAGATTTCAAAAACACTATCTCCTTTTTTTTTCAGAGTTGTTTCTGTATGTTCCCTGTTGAAAAAATACTAGAAAAGTTCTACAAACATAAAAAAGTCGCTTTGGGAGAAAAATAGCATCTATCTAAAATGGAACCATTCAGTATAGTTGACGTAAAACAAAATTAAATAATCTCACCGCATCTTTTAAAATTTGAAATACTTTAATTATCCATCTCACCTAATTTTAAGACGAAAACATGGGATAAGATTTTTTGGAATATTGCTTTTTTCAAAATACACAGTGTTGACAAAATAAAATTTGATAAGCTTTATTTTTATTATGAATTAATGGGAAAGAATATTCCAAAGACATTTGGTGCACATAGTAAAGAGTTTTAATTCTTTACTGTGTGTACATTTTAAACTTTTCACTTTCATAAGTTCAACGAGTTGCATAATTTCGCAAAATTAAAGAATACAGAATTGAATATTTTTATCTTGTCTAATTTTAAGTAAATTAGATTTCTTGTATTTTCTTCGAATATTCTACGCTTTAATAATGTAATTACTAATAATAAAATAATTGTCACTGTATGGATATATTATTGAGAAGCTCTGAGGATCGTTGCCAGGGAAACTAACTAAAAAGAATTAAAATGGACGCAAATTCCTAAAATCCAATATCACTGGTTAATCATTCAAATTTTATTTTTTCGCTACCCAAGCAAACTAAGCAATGTTCCAAAAAAACTTATTTTATAGGTGTATAGTAAAATAATTTTGTAACAATTATGAAAAAGAAAAACGTAAATTTACAGAAGCTATATAGAAAATTCATTCACTTTAATCAAATTTAAGTTAAGTTCTGCATTATAATTAATATATGAATACATGCTTCAAAATCAAAGTGCCTCGTTTTTATTCCCGATAGTTATTTGTTGAAAAGTTCATATTCAAACATGCACGATTATTTTTAAACGAGTTTACTCAGCAATAAACGGGTCGTACGAATCTAGTAACTTTCCGTATGTGCATACAATTATAATAGTCGTTTCAATTAAAATTAGACATTTTACGAGTACGTGTTCGTAAATGAAAACGCTACCGTTTGCATTTGATGAACTTCTGTTCTCTGCAGGCAATAAATCAGTTTCGGTTTATAAAAAAATATTCGACGTACAGGTTTTATGAAAACATGCAAATGTAAAAATATTATATTTTTTAATATTTTGGTAATTATTTGGGATAAATGTGTTTAACAAGGAGTATAATTTAGGGAGGGTTGGGTTCATATTTGTATGGATAGTGGATGACGCAAGCAATAGTTTCTTGGTAAGATTCAGTGTTCTAGAGCAAAAAAGTACTTTCTCTGTTTGCCGATAAACGAATTTAAACTCTGAAGAAGTCAACAGGATAATGGGCAAAGGATTTACAAAACTGATTTATCTTCAACCGACGTAGAAGGCTTATAATTAGTATTACAGTGGTCTTTGGAAGAATTTTTGAAAAAATAGACAATTTAACTAATTTCACTGGTCCTGATGGACAATTATCCAATATTATTAATCTTATTAATAACTTGCAAATTCTAGATTTCGGATCATACAATTACAAAAAGAAAATACTTTTTTATACTTTCTCACAGACACACGGTTACTTGCCAAACATCATAGACAAAATTTTAAAGAGAAAAAAATAAAAGTCTAACAAAACAAATCATGTAGGCCAAACAGGAAGATGTGTTGGTAAACGTAATAATTCATTCATTAATGGAAATCTTGATAGCAACTATGCACTTTATTTAAGAGAATGTAATTATAGTTGAGAAAGTTAAGACACACCAAAAAATAAAATATTCTTTTAAATGATCAAATATATCTTCATAACCCACTAATTCTGACGATTATGGCAGTGAATCTATTAGTGTTGTTTTGCAAAAATGTACGCAAAAACAAACGGTCGTGGAAAAAGTATAGTATGCAACATGTTTGGTAAACTCTTTCACTCGCTTCTGCCAAATAAATTAGTGATTCAAACACCATTTACAGCATTGATGGCTTAATAAGAGCTCTTAAATATTTAAATCTAATAGTTTTTTCCAATATTTTAATTTTTCTAAAAAGTACTAGGTTTATGTTTGCAAAAAAAATAACATTGCGCCATTATTTATCCATATGTGATATTAGCGTTATTCGAAGATGATGTAAAAGATATATGCAACGGAATTTAAATTAGATCTTGCAGGGCGTTCAAAATAAAAGAATATATTTAAAATTGAAAAATCTCGATTTTTTAAATGGCTCGCATTAGCATTTTTTTTAAAGATCTTACAAAAACGTACAACTTTTATTGATAAACCTATATTTAATAATTTTTCAAAGAAACTTCCACAGGCTACTGTTATACTTTTTACAAAACTTCTGGATTCTTCCTGCGTCGGTTTTTGCTGAGTCGAGCTTACTGACGTTTCGCCAATCATCCTGTTGACTTCTTCAGAGCTTTAGTCAAACTGGCTCGCATTTTACTTTGTACCTGCTTATATATTTTTTAAGGGGGACGGAGCTAAATGAGAAGTATAAACACAGTCTCGGATGACTGACTCCCATATTGGTGACAGGTAAAGACCTGAGTCGCGAGTAGGTTGTTTATAGATTTTTATATTATCGGATTTTTCGTTGGAATTGATTTCATGCAAGAATTTTAGTTTTATCGGATAAAATTTTATGTCGGATTTCGTGAATGTGTTCGGCAACTGCTGATGAGTTTATTTGTCTTAGTCTTAAGCTCTTTCATGTCCTTTGAACCTAGTTGATATTTTTCGTTCGGTCTCTCCAATGTATTCTTTGCCTCATACGCATGGAGTACTGTAAACTCCCGGCATCTCAAATGGAATTTTGTCTTTGACGGATCGAAGAAGAAGATAAGAGATTTTTGGATTTCTGGTTTTGGCGTTATATTTCTTTAGAACTTTTGATAACGAAAAATATCAACTAGGCTCAAAGAACATGGAATGTAATCAATTCTTCTACCAACGAAAAATCCGAGAGTCTATAGAAATCTATAAACAACTTAACAATGTTAACCGCGATTCAGGTGTTTACCTATCAAAAACAATATATAAGCAGGTACAGAGTAAAATGTGAGTCCGTTTCAGTCAAGCTCTGAAGAAGTCAACAGGATGATTGGCGAAACGTCAGCAAGTTATATTAGTTAAATTATTATAGCTAATATTAAAAAATTAACAGGAAAAAGAAATTTGTTGGAGCCGTAGATAAAGCAATAGACAGTTATTAGCAATTTCAAAATCACAGAAAAAGTAAATAATATTAAATATCTATTACAAGAAATTAACTTATTTTATTTTTTGTTTTCATTGTGGCACAATAAATGTTCAAAAATATGCCCGTACTTGGATACACATGTTTAGTTTTTTTCTTATATTTTCTTGGATGTTCCCTGCATAAACGGGGTTATTATCCTGCACGCGTCCTGAATCACATTTCCATCTTTTCTGGCGTTGTAGTGGAATTCACATAAAAACATCTTCAATATATCCCCGCCAAAAGAAATTTAGTGACGTTAAGTCACATGATCGAGGGGATCGCCTAATGAATCCACCTCTACCGATATATTTCCATGGGTAATGATTATTTAATAATTCTTTAACTTCTCTATGGTAATGAGGTATGAGGAGCTCCATCTTGCCGAAACCACATTTACTGAAACTCAATGCTATCGACTTCTTGAAGAAGTTAATGTAATTATTCTGCAAAAAGTATAAATATCTACATATGGGCGAATACTTTTAAAGTGTTTTATTCCACACCACATACTGGGTGACCAATGGTTTGGGTTTAGCACTTTAGTTTCAACAAAAAATATTATTTTAGACAACAAATTTGAAAGAAGTTTTACTTTTTCTCAAATGACGCTCTAGAAGTTCTTAGCGTAGTACCATATAGAAGGGATGATATTTGTGTTTTCTAATGGCGCGATTAAAGGTAGATTGGTATGTATCACAAGCTAGCTACTTGACTGCTACTGACTGACCTGACCTGACTGCTACTTAACCACTGAAGAGATTGTCTAGTTGGTATACGTCTATTAGGGTACTTCGTTTTGTAGTCTTACTGCCAACAAAGTATTTTTTCTGCCTCTCCCGGTATATAAATCATATGAGCCAATTCAGCTTTAGGAGAATCCATACTTAGCTTTTGTTTTAATTTACCGACACCACAATAAATATGATGAATTTATTTACTCAGTTGTCAGGTCAAAATTTAACAATGTCATTTGGTCATGGCCAACTAATGTTATAGCAATAGTCTTACACAGAAAGAAGGGTAAATATTGGAAAAGTTAATACTTAAATATTAGTATGAAATAGTAAACTTTAAAATAATTTTAAACTGTGCATTCTAACCATCTTTACAACTTTTGTATTTACTATTTCCTAATAAATTTTGTACCGTGCGTTCAATTAATCTTGATAACATTTTAATTGGCTGCAACTTTTTTGTTTTTGGAGATATCGAGGTAAACAAAAAAAAACGAAATATATATTATATATGTGTTTAATAGAATATCTTATTCCGATTACAATCATGTAATACACTTTATATTTTAGTACACTCGTTTTTGACAAATTACACAATGTCAAACAGTGCCCTGACTTTCAAATAAAAATATGTTTATGTTTGACATATTAGTAAACAACGTTGATGGTTGAATTATTGCCCAAGTCATTATTGTTAAAATGGTTTTTCGCGAATTTAGCATCCGTGAAAGGAGTGATATGCTTCAAGTAGACTTTCTGAATAACCACAGCTCGTCAGTATATTATACTTTATCCAGAGCGCCGAGCTCCTTCAAAACAGATATTTCTAAGGCTGGCAAAGAAATTTGCAGAAAACGGTAACGTGTTAAATGCTAAAAAGGTATGCCGGGATTATATTGTTTTAAATGAAGAAAATAAGGCAAACATATTAGGATCCTATGAAGCACATCTAGTATCCTCTATTACTAGAGTATATGAAGAGACAGGTATTTCTCTCTGGAATCAATCCACTCAAAAACTAAGTGAAGAACAATGTCAAAGAAAGGTGCAGTTTTTTTTTTTGATTTTTTAAATAGACGTAATGAGAATAATAATTTTTTGAGATATTGGTCCATAATCCTAGACACATGCAAGAAATAAAAACCCAGCTGTATTAATCAATTAATGTATGGTGTGGCGTCACAGATGGGCATATTTTGAGTCCGATATTTATAGATCAAAAGCTAACTGGAGATCATTATTTGCAACTCTTACAGCACCAAATAGAACAATATATAGAAGGTTCACCCCTAAATATATCAGCGCTGGTTATGTGGCAGCCCCTCCTCACAATGTTGTGCAAGTGAGAAATTTTGTTAACATGGAATACCGCAGGAGTTGGATAGGGAACGGCGGAACTATGGATTGGCCAGTCAACATCCCCGGCTTAACTTTAATGGATTTTTTCTTTTTTGGATACATAAAAAATCACGTGCACAGAACTCCTTGCAATAATGTCGTTGAACTTCGGCAAAGGATTCGTGCAAATAGTGTGTATGAGAAATGTGTTTAGCAGTATGTAGAAGAGTGTTTTTGTTCAACTTTAATTTGTAAATAATTATGTCAGAAAATTGATAGTGTTTTGTTTTATACGTCATATCTCTAAAAACAAAAAAGTTACAGTCAATTAAAACGTTATCAAGATAAATTGAACTCACGGTATATGACATCAATTTTCTTATTTAAAGGTATTTGCACCAGTCAAGATTTGGATATCTTCTTCTCGCATATGAACAACGCTCGATACGTCAGAGAGCTGGATTTCGCCAGATTTCATTTCTACGATCGCACCGGACTCTATAATGAGATTACCCAGTCGAAAGGACACATACTCCAAACGGCTTCCAATATCAGATATCGCAGGACGATTCCGTTGTGGACAGTGTACAAGATCACCACGAAAGTAAGCCCGTGCATGGAATACCTGGGCATATCGGGTTATATTTATTGTTGTAGATTGTCACTTGGGACGAGAAGACGTTGTTTATCGAACAGCAATTTATCACTTTGAACGACGGTTTCATCCGTGCGGTGGTGTTGAGCAAACAGAGCACAATTGGACTTGACGTGCCTAAAATTATGGCCAAATTGACCGGTCAGGACGTTTCCTTCAGGCCAGCGCCAGTTGCCGAGCTTGAGGACTGGCTCAAATATATGGAGAAGTCTAGCCAAAGGCTCAGGAAGCAGGAATAAATTGTTACGTTTGATATTTGTTTTACCACTGCAAAGTGTTCTAATATTTTTCGTTGGTTCCGCAGTAATTTAAATTTTTATCCTTATTTGTGTAGTATTATTAATCTCCTCCCTGCGACAAAACGTTTTTCCATTTTTCATCTGCAAACTGGAATAAGCTAGATCCCAATTGAATCGGTATTCTGAGATAAAACCCATCGCTGAGCTGAATTTTTCAAAACTCTTATAACTAAAAGCGCAAATTAAACGTCCAAAGGTAGCACGGCATAGATCAAATTATAAAAGAATTCAATTACTAGCAGATCTTCATCAGATGAATTAACTACTGGTTCAAATTGCGAATCAACTACGCCCAGGTTATTCGAAAACTTTTCAGATAATTCTTCCTTATTTATCGTTGACGAAATTGTTTTAGAACGCGAACATTTCCTTTCTGAATTCAGGGCATCTTTGTTAATTCTGGCAAGGGAACTAGAATGAACATTAGGCGAGTTATTTTGCTCTTTATCAGGACGTGTGTTGTTGAAGGTCTATGTTATACCCTCAGAAATATGTTAAAACAAAACAAGCAAAAAATAAGTTTTCTTATAATTTTCAACACATTTTTAAATTTACATATTTAAAAATTATTATTTTTTCACAAGTAAGTACCACATAAAAACTAAAACTGTTGGTCTAATTACGAACATTTTACTATTTAAATATCCCCATTAAAAACGTATAATGGATTTAAATCTGGAGACGGTGCGGGCTATTCGATTGGTTTCCTTCTTCCAATCTGCTGCCCCGGATATCTATTATTGAAAAGTTGTCTCACCAAGTAAAAACGAGTACCATCTTGCTGGGGATGTAGCTGCTTCGGTTATTAGGTTGTCGATTTCGTTTTTTAAAAACTGTAAATAAATTTCTCTGTTAAGATTACCTAGGATTAATATTGGCAAGTATCCCTGTCCAAACCATTAGTTTGTGTGTGTATTAGTTAATTAATCGTACAGTCCAAATTGTTGCCTTCTGTCACCGACATTTTCTTTTAGTTCATATTAAAATTGATTGTTGTAAGGATTATAGGAATGCAAAATTTCGTGAACTGTCGTGTGAGATATTCGAATGCTTTGCTTTCTTTCGGGGTTAATATGACCAGGACAGTCACTTCTGAAGCCTTATCTCTTACTGAACGTCTGCGTAATAAATTAATAACTTTTGGACATCTCCGAGTAAAATTGATTGACGTCCACTACACACTACACGAAACTAATAAATGGCAAAGATAAAGCAAAACGGTAGTTAAAAAATTACAAAAAATAAAATTAATTGCCAAAGATGAAAGGTTAATGTTAACAAAGAGATGCAGTTTATTTTTCCATTTTTGGCCCAATAACTAAGTTATTGCTTATTTTAATAATAAATTGACATGCTAATATCCAAAACTTTAAAATTTTATCTTGTTCGTAAAGATAAACAATTAATTCTTTTCGAAAAAATCAAGGTCGATCCTTTGATAATGTACATCCTGTATAAGTATTAATTAAATAAAATAAAACGCTAGACTGATTTCTAAATTGATTGCCTCATATGAATTCAATTAAAAACAACCAATATTTTTCAAAACAAAATGTTTTAAAACATAAATAAATAGCAAGTCATTCGAAACTCTCACTGAGTGTAAATTTAGTCAAAATGACTTAACTCCGAACTTATGACTTATTATTACGTTTTTATTGTTTTAGTTTCTTGTTTTCCGATCATTTGAAAGGTGTTATAAATAAATGCTATTTAATTTTCCTTGTGGTTATTGAAAAATCAGGACAAATAAAAGCTTATTTTTTATAGTAAGCTAAAAACAATAACAAAAAGAAATCCGCTTAGGGATAATAGGATATCCTGCGACACACGCGACAATAAAACTAGGTCTTTGCCCAGATCCACCGGCAGGTAAAACTTGATTGGAATACCGCCTCCGTAGGAAGCATAATGCAGGCACAAATGTACCCGAATTAAATACGACAACTATGCTACAAATTTTTAGACTGTTTTGAAGGGCCGAGAATAAATTTTATAGAATAGGCCGCTAGCACTGAGTGAAATATATAGACCTGTTACGTCAACTAGCTGTACCTATCAAATGGTTATAAGCATTTTTTTCAAAAACTAATAATAATCAGCGATTAACTTTTTTTTGAAATTCAGAAAAATAAATTTCCTATTAAAAACATGATGATTGATGATGATGGAAATGATTGATTTAGTCTCAAAAGGAATTTTCACAATTTTCGTTAGGTTTTATTTATGAAATTAAGAAAAATTTATTTCGAAAATATAGGTGAATTTTATTTTCACGTGATCTGATAGACACCACTCGTTAAACGCAGCTTATATAACGTAGCCAGTCTCGCAACTAATAGAACACGTGTACAAGGGTAGAATTTTGTTTTGAATATATGTTTTGGTATGGAATGTAGAACAAGGTGTTTAAAAAAAAGTGGATTTCGAAAATATAGGAGAATTTTGTTTTTACAGTTACTCATACCATTCGTTGATAACATTTTAATTTTCTGCAACTTTTTTGTTTTTAGAGATATCAAGGTAAACAAAAAAAAAGCAAAATGTAGTTAGTAGTCAATTATATTTCCAAGTGATGTATAGAATAAAACACAATCAATTTTCTGACACGTAGGCCTACATCATATTTTTAAAATGGAACACCCTGTATATAATAGACGTGTTTAATAGAATATCTTGTTCCGATTACAATGATGTAACACACTTTCAATTTTAGTCCATTCGTTTTGACAAATCGGAAATTTTTCTATAATTTCAAAGAGTGCCATGATTGATTACAAAAACAATAATTATTTACAAATTAAAGTACAACAAAAAAATTAAAAAATCATTAACTATTCTAAATACTGCTGTATATGACCGCCATTATCCTGAACGAGAAATGCATTCTCATACACTCTAATTGTATGATGTCTTGCATTTAGTTACTTTTCGGGATTGTCACGATTCCACGACATTATTACAAGGAGTTCTTTGCACGTGATTGTTTATGCGTCCCCAAAAGAAAAAATCCATTAAAGTTAAGCGGGAGCTGATGGCTGGCCAATCCATAGTTCCGTCGTTCCCTGTCCAACCTTTGGTATATTCCAAGACAAATTTTAAATTGCACAACATTGTGAGGAGTGGCACCGTCTTGATGCTGTATAATCAGCGCTGATATATTTAAGGGTAAATCTTCTATATATTTGGTGCTCTAGGAGTTGCAAGTAATGATCTCCAGTTAACTTTTGATCAATAAATATCGAACACAAAATATGCCCATCTATGACACCACACCATACTTTAATTGATTGGTACACCTGGATTTTTATTTCAGGTTTGTCTAAGATTATTCAAAGATCAATATCGTGTATTTTGTCTATTACAACCTTTTCTTGTAGTGAACCAACTTTCATCAGCCCATAAAATGTTTTTCAACATTTTTTTATTCTTATCATGTCTGTTTAAAAAATCCAAACAAAACTGCATCCTCCTTTGACATTGTTCTGCACAGTTTTTGATTTTTATGAAGTTTAAATTCCTTATTTTTAAATTCTTTCAAAACTGTCAACTATAACTGGTTCTTTTTAGCTAAGCTACTTCGCCTAGTTTGAAAAACTATATATTATGAATTTGTCGGTTCTATAAAGAGAACAAATTATAAATCACCATTTCCTTATCGGCCATATTTTTTAGAGATGTGATTGTTCTACAATATTTAAAGGCTATTCAAATGCTGACAGATAATATACTATGCCTTGGTGTCAGTCTGCACGCCTGCAAGCTTATAGAAAACTACCTTAAAGATACAATGGAACTTGCGAAACTTCAAAGTGAGCACTCCAATCCTAAAACTATTGCAATTGGTGTCCTCGGGGCTCCATCCTTGGGCCATTACTGTTCACACTATACACATCAATTATACCTTTCGGCTTCCATTGATGGCAATTAATCTAAAAAAGAGCCAAGTAGTATTGTTTGGATGTTCCCGAAGGTCTTAAGTGTTTAACTGTTTCTACCAATCTGGGACTATTGCTTGATGCCGATTTATGGTGTTCGGATACTTTTTAAATCAGAATTTTAATAGCAGTTTAATTTTTGTGACACTGTGTACGGTCCTAATTGTTACGTACGTTTGATTTGGGGTACCAGGCGATATGACCGGGATGTTTGTGCTAAAATGGGAGAAAGCGGGTGGTTGTATGGAGACAAGGAGATATTATAGTACCATAGTATCAATTTAATAAAATATTAAGTAAAAGAAACCCTCAATATCTACCTATCTGAAAAAAATAAATTTAGATAAGATAGTCGAATAAAGCATGAAATAAGTGAACGTCAATAATAATGATAGGTTTGACATGATTTTGGACTGGAAAAGAAAAGTACAATCAGAACGAGATCGATTCGAAATAATATAAATAATTATTCCCTTTAATGAAGGAACACTTATAAGTAGAATGATTTAGGTTGATTTTATTTTCTTTTCATTTCCTTTTTTTTCTCTTCTCAGCTTTGCTTTTCAGTTTGTATATTCTGTTACTGCTACAAATAATTAATTGTAGGTCAAGTGCGGAAATATTATTTCAACATTGCCTTTTGTAATGTATTTACAATAAAGTCATATTATTTTTATTTGCAAGTACTTTTGACAAAAAATAGCTAAAACACTAAAGCTGAAGAATTTGGGTGACGAAATAAATTCACCGTACGTACTTGGGTTGGGTTCGCTGTAAGGAATAACTTCGACGCTTCCACTATTGTTTAGATGTCGCTTCTACTTTAGAGTGGGACAGAAATCTTCTCGGACCAACGCTTCATTCAAACACAAAACGCGGGATATTTCGGTGCGACGCAGCAATTCCAACTTTGTTCGAAAGTGCGGTTTTTCGCGTTTTTTGGCGCTTTCGTTCATTTGTCGTCGTGGTGCTTTATTGAAAGTGATTACGTCTCAACTGGTGTTCCGGTATTGCCGTTTTAAAAAACATGTGTGCGATCCAGACCGGGCGTTTATTGTGATTTTTCGACGGACGTGTTTAATAACGCTTGGAAAAAATGTTTTTTCTTTGTCGTTAAATTTTCTTGGATTTAAAATTTAAGGAAAAATACGGGCAATATCGTAAGTATCTGCGTCCGGAATTTCCTTTAATTATTCATCGATTGTTTCCAAAATTTTAATCAAGTCTTTGATGGATTTTGGTTTTGTGTGGGTAAAGATTAAAATAATAAATGCTCGAGTTCGTAAAACTCGTAAAATCTTTTTTATTTGTAAGCAACAAACCCTCTTAACCCTGAATTAATGTTGCCTTGCGCTTTTTCGATATGATAACTACCTAGAGCAAGTAAAATGCTCCTAGCTTTGGTACAAATTTTTCAAACCACTTTAACCTGGGCTTGAGAAAGGGCAAATTTGATTCATTTCATTTTAGTATGTATTAAGACACAGGTTATTTTATAATAAGATACTGGATCCTCAGGAGTGTGATTTCTTGTAGTTCCGTAATCGCTTTATGTTCGATATAGCTACTGCGGGTTGAAATGATTAAAAAACATTTTTTTTTTCGCCTATCGAGTTTTGTTGGAAATTCATCTGCATTCACCAGTGGCGTTGACGTAAGCGTAGCACTAACTATTTTTATTGAAAAAAATGGTGTGCCACTGTTTTTTTCGGAAGTAAAACGCGATTCAATTCTTGATTGACTTTGAATCATCCTACTAAGGGTTTCCGGCGAAAAAACAATAAAAATATTAAATAATCGCAATTTATTTTTGAATGAAAAATTGGCCTTGAAAAATAAAAAAAAAACATCGAAATTAGCTGTTGAAAGTGAGATAGAAGTATGCATATTTTAGCTCTTCTTCTCATTGAATCTCCTACCCTTGCTGGAATATTTCTAATATTTTCACAATTTACTGGTATGCAATATAGAATCGATTGAATCCTTCTGGAAGAGTGAAATTTGAAGCAGATGACTGTTTCAAGTCCATAAAGCCCATTTGAGATGTAGTAATATTAGCGTATTATCAAATACTTTTTTGTTTTATTCAATAAAAATATTTAATTATTACTCAGAGCTTTTACATGTTGGCAAACCTTTGTATTATATGTTTTGTTATATAATTTGAAATGTCTCTATTCCTGGTCATGTTTCAAGAATCCCCCCAAAAAAACACGTGACTGGAAATACCATAATTTTAAAAGTGGATCCCACAATTTACTTTAAAGAGTTATTATTTTAAAGGTCAAAAGATGACATAGAAAGTGAAAAAAAAAGGAAAATACACTCATTCTTTATATCTTATCCATGATTCCGCTTCAGGTTGTTGCGATCTATATCGTCTATACACTCGGTGCCTTCCTCATCTCTATCCATATCATCGTCACTATCTATTAATTTCACTTCAGTTTTGAGTGTGAAGCTCTTCACTGGAAATGCCTGAAACTGTAACTTTTTTTGACTTCCCTTCCTTTAAGGTTACTCTTTGGTTTCTTCTTAGCCTGTATTTTTATTTCTTGGCTCTTTTGATTTAAGGCCCTGGAAACTACTCTTAATTTAGTTTTTGTGCTTGAAATAGATGATCTATTATGAAAGGTGTTACGTTCACATCGCTAACTTTATAATCTCTGAAAGAAGAAAAAAAGTTTGGCTCATGGATTTATATGTAAATTATGAGCATGCAATTTACCGAATTCCGATGGTACATAATAAGAAACTAATTAGTCTCACCTCTTGGAAATTTGACGACACTAAAGTAGGAATGTTAAAATTTTGACAGCAAACAATTTTATTCACAGCCAACTAGCGCGAAATAATTTGTTTGTTCTTTGTTTTAAGAAAAATAATAATATCGAGTACGCGATATTAGGCCACATTTCTCTACGTTTTCAGGTCCTTTTTTAAAATCATATGCACATAAATACTGTTTATTTTTTTCGTTGAATACCCTGCGTCAGACAACAAAAAGTCAAGCCCTCATTTTTACTAAGAAATAAATTGCGATTTTAAAAATGTCATTTATTTTTGAAAAAAAAAGGTAGCGTATACATTCACTAAAAAATATTTTGATGCATTGCAGGCCTCTACCAAACAATCAAGAAAATTTCTAAAGCAATTTCAAACAAACTGAGAAAAAAGCGCCTTTTAAAAATATTTTTAACTTGCAGTAACTTTTTTTTTCAAATCTTCGAAGGATCGGCATTTTATTACTAAAGACTTTATCGAGCCCATTTGTAAACCTACGCACGTATATACCTATTCCTTTTTAAAAAACACATTTGTACCAATCGAATGGAGAAAAAAAAAGTCGAGTGCCTTAAAATGATGCGCACTAAAATATTTACTCCCACTCGTCATTTGCATATTTACACGACTTGTTCGTTAGCTACTTTATTTCCGTCCATCGCATGTAGAAAAATCCTAAGACATATAATGATATAAACAAAATAATAATAATATAAAATAAATATATAATAATATAAACAAAATAAGGCAGGTAACTTGCTTCGATGTCGACCGATTTTTAATAGTCGACAATTAATATCATGTTTTCGTCGTATCTACAAGGCCGCCATTTATTCGTTAAATTCAGGTGCAAATTGATTTTAAACAAGCAACGCGCGTTTTCTGAGAAAAAAAGGCCTGCGACGGTAAACAAATTCAAATCGGTTATGATGTTAACTTTGCAACGCCGCGCTAACCAAATATTTGCCATAGGTGTTGCTCGAAATAAAAACGAACTAGCCATTATTTGTAAAAGCCGTTATTACTAACGAGGCGTTAATAAACGTCCACCCTGCTTGTTTCCAATATTAGACTTTACAATTCTTAGATACCTATCGTAGGAAATAAACTAAAATATCTTTCCGAGCTTGCTATTACCATACAGTACAGAAAATTTGATCACATCTGTAGGCTAAAATGATTCAACTTTCCTTATGTAACATTACGTATTAAACTTCTGGTTTAAATATACAGGGCGTGGAAATTAACATACCATGATACACCCTGAACATGTTTTCATATAATATTCACACGAAAAACTGATTTAAAAATTGAATTTGAGGTTTACATTCCAGTGGGTTTTATTTTGCTTTCGGCTGGATGATATTATTTTACCGAACGGGTTTGGGATCAATCGGATCAGAATTTTGACGTTTGTCAATTCTGACGGTCATGTCAGTGAATGTATTCCTGTTGTTTTGCAGAAAAGTACCCAAAAACTAATACACAGAAAAATGTTATGCGATATATCAGACAATTTAAATACTACGTGCTTTAAACCATAACTAAAATCTAGTGGATTATTCGGTAAGTAAAGACATTGATAATTTAAGTTTCGCACAGAAATTTGCCAAGACCAATTGTACCATGTTCAAATATCCATGTTTCATCAGTACAAACAAAACAAAATTAAAGGTTAGGACCAGCTTTTTCTTGCTTATACGATCTAATTTAATCCTATTACAGTTCTATCCATGGATGATTTTTCCTCCAATTACAGTCTTTTTCTTTAAATAAACTACTTAATGATCAATTGTAAAAGTTAAATAAACAACATAACGTTCCGTTGTTTATGTGACATCCAATAATACACAGAGTTAAAAAGAGACAACAATAGCAGCCCCCATCGGAACGATAAACGAATAGATTTAATGGCAACTAGTAAATATTTTGTTTGAGTGGTACAAAATTTAGTAATCCGATAATCTGTTATTATTTTTAATTTGTTAAATTGTGATTTTTTCATGACGGTCGTAGAAAAAGTATAGTATGCAACTCGTGTATTAAGCACTCGCTCCTCTCGAGTCAAATGCCACTTACCGCACGTGTTGCATAATATACTATAACATCTCCCTAAGGGTAACTTATTGCTTTGATAGTACTTTACTTTGCCTTTTTGTTTTTCGTTACCACTTATGTAAGGATTTTGTTTTTTGTGTGTGTGTATTTTTCGACACCCGAGACGTTTCAAAGAATACAAGAGGCCTAATTTCATAAAGTAGAGCAAAATTAACTTCACATCCCACGTATTTATTACGACTAAACATAAATAGTGACCATAAATTTAATAAATTTAAAATAAAAAGCGAAAACATTGGTCTATCAAGTTTCAACATTTTATTAAGTAGATCAAAATAAAACAGATGGTACCTATACCGAATTTATGACAAAATGCGAGGCGACATTCCAAAATCAAATCTCTGACACATTCTGCGTGACAAACAAACGTAAATGTCCGGCAAACGTTATTTTATTTTAATAGACAACGTGGGATGAGTACTTTGCCTTAACTATATGGCCGAATACGGAGTTTCGGCATTTTTCTTATCTTCCACAATGACTGGACTCCAGGACATCGACCGAAACATTTACAGTTCACACGGCACATTGACCATGTCTTTATACCAAAGAAAATTTCGAGAGTCTTAACATCCGCTATGACATATGGTGTGGAATTATACTAGATATGACGCAGAAACACACTATTAGTTGTCGTTACTTACGAGACTAAGGACTCCTTATTAGAGGAGTGGAGTTTCCAACTCTTTGAGAACAACCCCGGTTTAGTAACTTAACGTAACTTAACTTAAACTTAAGAAAATTGCTTAATCTAAACAAAGTACAAAGAAGAACAAGAAGAAGAATCAAAAATAAACTTCGTCTGAGTTAAGTTAGCTCAGTACCTAAAAGTGCTAACTTTGATAAGATACAAGATAGGAAAACATTCAACATTCTAAGAGGAAAAGGGTGCATCAGCCCTAATAGAAGTTACGATCGATGAATTTCAGATTAAGTAGTGCTTTTAGATTCAGAAAAACATTTGATAAGAGGATATATGTGCCTTAGTAGTACTTGCCCGGTCAAGATGAGGCAGCGCGGTTTGAGACACTCAAGGAAAATTAAAAACAACCAGCGAGTAATAGAAGCCTACTTGAACAACCCAACTCAACTGATTCATCTTTATTTATACGAAAAGAGGAATCAAATATAGCATGTACTGTTAGAAATCTAGGTTCGCCTCTTTCAAGTAGTTTTATTTGATTAATTTTATACTGTTTTCATGGCATTTAGTTTAGTTAAACAATTTAAATACTTTCATGATTTTTTTTTCCAATTT